CGGCATCAGGGTATCCGTCCCGGGATCCAACTGCAGGTACCCCTGCCCCCATTGAAGGTAATACTTGGTAGTAGTGTGGCTGGCTAAATCAGACACACACACACACACTGTACTTGTACTTGGTGTACTTGCTCACTGCCAAAATTGGTCACGTGAGTCCCCCGGGACAGGGGAGAGAGGAACTCAAAGGAATCTTGGAAAGAGGACTCAATTGGCTATTGTAGTATTGAACAGCCCAACGGCCGACACCCCCCTCCCCCCCCCCCCCCCCCCCGAACTCCCCAAACTATGGGGTGGACTTGCACCACTTACGGGCTCACCACACCTCAGTAAGTGGGCGAGGACAAGGTGCATGCAGAAAAAGGATTGACGGCATCAGGGTATGATCCGTCCTGGGATCCAACTGCAGTTGCCCCTGCTCCCAGTGAGGGTGATACATGTACTTGGTGCTAGTATGGGTGGCTAATACAGAGTGGATCTGATATACATGACTGTAAGCTTCACTAGCACCAGTGATTAGCCAGAAGCAGTCCGTAGTCAACAGGTATGTACATTTTTATACTTAAAATAGATATTATATGAACCCTGAGACCAACAAAGGTGACAGATACAACAAAACGCCTTCAAGCAGCCGAGCCAGTTGGCAGCAGACCCAACACTATCTGGCACACATGTACATGTATGTGTACCCACCAGCCTGACTAGCTCACACGCACACACACATACCGGCACACGCACACACACATACCGGCACATGTGCATGTACAATTGTACATGTACGCACGCAGAGACGCGAACACATATCAAATGAAAGAATAGAAAACGGTGCACTCTCAGAAGTAAACTTGAACAAGAAAAGGCTCCTCAAAAATGGATTAAGAATGGACAGCAAAATGCAATGAAAAGTGGAAGTACGCAGTCATGCCAGTCAACACACATGGACATGTAAGCAAAGAGCAAACGGTTAGTACAGTACCATGCAGACTGCGAACAAGCGGCAGAGAATTTCAAGCATAAATCATGCAATTCATCACCAAAACTGAGTGTTTCCGTTCCAAGTGGTTGCTAGTGGATATAGATGTGCATGTAGAACTAATTGAACAGCAAGTGGAGAAGTAAGATGCAGAGAGCAAAGGGTTCGTGCCAATTTTGACAAAACTCGTTTTAAAATGGATTTTAAAATGATGCATAATGCAGCTCTGCTAACCTGTCATACAGACAGACAGTGCAAACTACATGTGCATGTACATGTATGCCTACTATTGCCTAGTACTCCGCACACACTAACTACATGTACATGTACATGCACACGACTTGGGCTCCAGTACATGATGTATGAGATATGTACTGGTATGCAGTATTAATGCATGCATGAATACATGTTCGTCCAGATTGCGGACTGCATCCATGCAGGCGCCACACTTACGCTAGCACAAATCCAGCGGGCCCACACTGCGGAGCACAGCACACAGCTTCAACGTCATAAAACTGAATGCAAATCCCAATGCAGCAGCAGCAGCAGCTTCAGCAGGTCGTGGTAGGATGCAGTCAAGGTCGGAGGATTGACAAGTATCGCTGATACTCAGCTGGGTGTATGGCCGCACTTGCTCCGACATCCGCATCACTCAGTGGTGCGGTAGGAGTCAGCAACCTTCAAGACCCTCTCCAGCTTCTTCATCACATGGCTGATTTCAAAGTGATCGCCTTCCACGCTGCTCGAGAATGCCTTCAGTTTGCGCTGCATCTCATCCACAAACTTGTCCAGAGAAAGATGGTCGCATTCGATTAAGGCTCTTCGGAGATCTTCTACGGGCTGCTGTGCAAGTTTGACCTTTTCCAGATTTCCATCACACACCTGTCTAGCGTGCCGGTAGTCACACCATTTCCAGCCTTGCCATAGAGCTGCCGCTGACAATGTGCCGCTCGCATTCAGTGCCACAACTCCGATGCTTGATGTGATGACCTCGCTCATGCCTAGAGCAACCACGGCGGCAGCCAGTGCCTCAACAGGCAACATGGCCGGTGCAGCCGCTACTAGGCCAGCAAGAAGAGCGAATAGTCCCAGCCCTATGGTCCAGTACGAGGCTTTCTCTTCCGCTTTAGCAGCCATGTTTCTCTCGGGCTCGATTTCCTCCTGGACTTTTTCCATGATGCCATCCAGCTTTGCCAAGACCTTCTCTGCTGCATCGTCGGCCTCCTTCAACTCGGTCAGAGCTTGTTGGGCTTCGTACACGCAATCCTCCATGCGTTTGTAGAACTAAGCGGATGGTCACTTCCAAGCGACTGCCTTCCACTCTTCGGCAAAGTTGTGACGAATTCTTCGAGTTCCTCGCGAGAATGGCTGGATATCTCCGCCAATAAGTCCTCTACATAATCCTGAGCACCTCTTGATTTCCGCTGGGCTGTTTCCAACAAACGTTTGGCTACAGGCAGAAGTTGACTAAACTGCTCATTCGCACTGGAAATGGACTTGACTTGTTCACGACGGACGGTGTCTAATCGTTCTTTCCGCTTTCGCTCCTTATCTCCCAGCTGTTTCTTGAGATCCTCCAATGTTCTGAGGACTTTGGGAAGATACTTAGGGAACACCTCGGCTATATACTTGAGCGATTCTGCTGGAATGATTTCCCCCATTGTAGGGCTCTTACTTCGTTTGAGCTTTCGACGCTCACTGACACTGCACTGTGACGCCTGGGCACGGCACCTCTCACGCCCAAAAAGATAATGAACAAACTCGGGAGACCAAGAATTATGGACAACCGGTTAGCCTAAAACTAATTAGTAAAGGTCAGTCTTCTTTCTTCCCGCGTCATGTGCGGAGCGAGTACAAAGTGCATGCTATAAAATTAATAGTAGAAGCCTTGCTTGATGCTGTCGAAATCGAAAGACGTAGACCTACTTGAGAAGTAATTAGTTGAGTGCATGCTGTATACTGCTGATATGAACTGTTGCCTGCATGGTTGTGTTCTTGTCTTGTTGTGGTGTTATAGGCTAGGGGATCCCCCATGAACACCGGGTGGAATCCCTTCAAGGCCAAGCTAGCGCGCTAGCTTAGTAGTACATGACTGCACTACATCATGATTCATGATTGTTGTAGTAGTATAGCTAGAATACATGACCATGATGACCATGATGACTGTTGAGTGTTGTGTACATCAGTCATGTAAACATGGCGAGTCGAAGGTTCGATGGATTTCTCGTGTGCTCTGGATGTCCGGATATCTAATGGCAGTCGTGAGTCAGTCAAGTCCAGTCGGCGGAATAGCGCGAGAGAGTGCAACGTAAAGTGAGTAAAGTCATAATCAGAATAATGCGTTGCACGGTATTATTCTGTCTTGGGCTTGGCTACAATTGTAGGCTTGTCTTTCCACCTGGATTGTCACTATTTTAAATATAAATAATAATGACTCACGACTGCTATCCAGATCAGAACACACGAGAAGTCATCGCACCTTCGACTCAGCAAGCCAGTGCATGTTCATTCACATTCTTCATCATTTGTGAGAACTAGACCTGGTCTAGTGAGAAGGCATTCTACTGCCTGTCATTCTGGTGAAGTAAAATAAAGTAACAACAACAACAACAACGATATCTTTCTCGCTTCCCTCCTGTGCGTTTGTTGTTGTTGTTGTTGTTGTTGTTGTTGCTGCTGCTGCTGCTGCTGCTGCTGCTGTTGTTGTTGTTGTTGTTGTTGTTCATGTTTGGTTTGGTTTTGTTCATGTTTGCTTTTTTTGGTTATGCTTGTTTTAGGGAACACGGCCTCCTGCTGTGTGATCAGTCGTGTTGAGTGGAGAAAGCACCAGTGACTGTGTTTCTGGGACCCCCTTGGTCGGCCTCTCACTAGTCTTACCAAGAGTACATATGTACCCTTGGTCTTACTCATCAGTTGAGCTGGAGAAGAATCAGGAAAAGTGCCTGGAGAGCACCACTTTGCTCTCCAGCCCAAAACATCATCAGGGAATAGAAACTCTGCTCGCATCGATGATTCCTCCTCGCCGTTGAGCCCGTAGCTCGCAGGAATGTCGGCTAACCGCTGGCCACAGGGGCAGCCAAATCGCTAACATTCTCCTCTCACTGACTGCTCCCAATTCCTTCCAGCGTTGATTTCCGTTCAACTTCATTTTGACACCTGGAACATGCTCCCGACTTCCTTACTTGCTGTTACAAGTTCACCAAACCACCCCCCCCCCCCCCCCCCCCTGGAGATCATCCAAGCTTTCAAGGTGGCAAATGTCAACCACCATCTTCACCCTAGCCGAAATGCATGTAGATCTACCCTTTCTAGCATGACTTTGCTCTTGTCCTCCACACCTGACCTGCTCTTCCATACATTATTATTATTATTATTATTATTATTATTATTTTTTCTTATTTTGTTAGGGATTTCCCAACAGGCAATGTTGCCTTTTTACTGGGAACCCTAAATGAGACTTTGTGTGAGCGCGAAACAAAGCAGGATACATCTTACGCACTCCCACCTTATTCTCCACACATCCTCATTTTGTTCACAATAATCCCCTCTCCATTAATTCTGTCTTCTCTCGCGAACCCATACAGGCCATAGCCTATCGGCATAGGCCATGGTGCACAAGCTCGCGGTAACCATGGTAACGCCGAGACCACAGGTCAGCGTTGTTGGCTGGTCTCACCAGCACAGGTTCCTTCTTGGAGCCCCTCGTACTCTTCCCATTGTCCTGATACTGTGATCGTGGTGATTGTGATGCAGTCACGTGACTTCTCTCTCATCCTCAAGTTCTCACGCGTCACGAGTACTATAAATAGAAGGTTGTGTTTCCGGTGAAAATAAAAAAATGGAAAAATATATGTATGTGGTGTGGTGTGGTGATGGCAAAAAATACATGTAAATAGAGACGCTCCATTTCACGCCAACAACAACTTCTGCTGCTGAATACTGACAGTACTGTCGCCATTGCGGGGGGGGGGGGGGGAGAGCAGACGGGGGTCATTTCCCCATCACACGCATAATAGTACAATGTACAAGTAGTAGTTAGTAAAAGTCTCATTCGCGTGTCATAATACTTTGTCAATTACGAAAACACTTGAAATGGACCTATACGGCTATAGTCAGTATGCAGCGGCCACTGCAGAAATCAAGAAAACGTAATTTAATCGGCACCGCTGTTAGCCAACATTGGATAAAGTTAAAATAGCAGTGAGGGAATCTGAGCAAAACCATTGCCAGCACAATGCAGACGAACATAGAAGGTAGGTAGTGACACGCAAAACTTTATAAAAGCGGCTACACAACGAATAATGGTAAGAGTATATCATAATAAGATTACCTACACGGGCACCTAGTAACGTTATTTACACATAGGTGGGAAATCCACGGAAAAAAACCTACGAGGAAGATTGATGACGGTACAAACAGCACTAGTGATACTGCATTGCTGAATGCCAACCGGACTAGCCGGGCAAATGGCAGTGGGCGGTGAGGGTATTGATGTTTCAAGTATATTACAGAAGCACTGAATAGAACATTGGGCACGCAGAGGTGAGGAGACACAACAGCCACCGTGATGAGAGACAGACAACACACCGACCAGATCGAGCTGGAATTTGTACAAAAGCGAATATACAAGCTGGAGCAGGGCAGTGAGGTATTGGATAGATATACAACAGCATAGCGAGATCTCTACAATAGAGCAGCCAGAGAATACATGAAACCTGCCTAAACTATCTACAAGGATGTCAGCACAAAGGGAAGCAGAACTTCAAATTGCAGGATACAAACGCTGAGAAAAGAAACTGCAAATCTCACATCAGACTGCACTGCAGTGGATATGACGCAGTCGGTCTGTACCTATGTGCCACCTCGGTCACATACTTGAAGTAGCCACTCAGGAGCACGGTGTGTAGATGGACGGCCGCTAACGACGCGACACACACATACTACAGAGAGCGTACACAGCAACAGCTCTACTAAGCGGTGGCTGATATGATACGAGTGGCTCTGACGCGAGTGCGGCGTAGATTGGAAGGGACATGCAGAGCGAGTGCTAGCAATCACGTGCGTGGTTGATAGGATATGAGTGTGCTTGCCGCCCTGCTGACTGTGTGCTTACACAGTGCAACGGCTGGTTTGCGCTCCAGTAACGCAGACAGCTCCGGTGCCGTCATGATGGCAGTTTGAAACAGTTTCAGTGGCAGCTTCCATGACGACTCTGGGTCCGGTGCAGCACCCTGGCGTCTGCACTCGGCGGCGGTTCTCTCCTCGCTAGTGGCAACGGACGCCTGTGATGGGGTCCTAGATATGCCGGCACATCCACCACCACCAACGGCGATGCTGCTGCTGCCAGTACTGCCTGAGTCGCTGACAGTGCTGGCAGTCCTGCTGTTGGCCAGCAGTGCTGCCTCGCCGCACTCCATGCCTCTCATCATGATCAGACTGCTGCACTGCTGCATAGACTGTGTCAACACAACACCACACCACACCGTCGCCATACACCACGCCACACAACAACACAAAGCACAAGACCAAGACAGCGAAGACAAGCATGCAACGTTACATCTAGAACTATACTGGCATTATGACATGACGAAAGTTTTGTGCACTAGTAACAAACACATACACACACACACACACACACCTTCCTTCCTTCCTTCTTCTCCACTGCCATGACTGGCTAAGTGGCCCCATACGGGGCAGCTCTTGGATTAGCGCTGTCTCCGGGAAGCGGCACCAGGACCCGACGACCGACGTGACGGCGCATTCCCACGGGTTATAATTGCTATTGAACGCCGCGATGTACAACGATGCCGTGCGATATCCTGACGGCGGCGGCTCTCCTCGCGAATATTCGAACAAACTTTCCTTGATTTTTTTCTTTGGACGCCGTATTCAAATTTCCGTCAGTGTCGACAAGAGTCCTGACGTTCCACGTTCCCAGAGACAGAACAACCTTTCGAGCCGCTGGTGCACGCGAGTGAAAAGACTCTGGGCGAGGGTTTGCAAGACCTCTACACCCAGGCGAAAGAGGGTCAGCGCGAGTGGCCACATCCGAAGTGGCCATGTCGTCAACGCTGAATTTTCCTCCTCCGCGGCAGCAAGATGAAGACTGCCTTGTCTAACACCGCGTCACTAAGTGTTTTCTACTCACCAGGGCTGGCCCTGGCAGAAGCCAGGAGCCAGCCCGTGGCCCTAAACTCACTACGAAGAAAGAAGAGTTCGGAGCTCCAAAAACTGCTTCCTCCTCTCTCAAGAGAACTCCACACACACACACACACACACACACACACACACACACACACACACACACACACACACACACACACACACACACACACACACACACACAGCTGAAATCAGAAAACAGTGTACACAATCATGTTGCATGATGTATGCTAAAGGAAGGACGGAAAGAACTTTACTCATTTGGTTAATGGTGTTCAATGACACCACAATTGACAATACACCGCATTTCCAGGGTACGAGCAGCACCACAAATCTGCCCTGCAGCATAATACTACAGGGCACACACTTTATAATTCCAAACTGAAAAGTGACATTTCGTCGCCAAAACGGGGGCCGGCAACCCTTCCATAATAATAATAATACAGTGGAAGCAAGCCTGACTGACCTGGTAGAGTTCCATATTGTCTTCCGACTCTTGCCGCACTATGTCATTCACAAGCTTCCACAACTGTATGAACTCCGCCTGCCCAGTGGTATGATGCAACAAGAAAAAGAAGATGATGAGAGGACACAAGAAAATATGAACACAAACAACCATATTACTATAGTCCCCCCCCCCCCCCCCACACACACACACAACCCATACACTCCCATTAATATACCACTGGTAAAAGAATACAGGTGAACACAACAACAACAACAACAACAACAATAAAAGATTTCAAACAACAACAACAACAACAACAACAACAACAACAACAACAACAACAACAGCAGCAGCAGCAACAGCAGCAGCAGCAGCAGCAGCAGCAGCAACAACAACAACAGCAGCAGCAGCAGCAGCAGCAGCAGCAGCAGCAGCAGGTGCAGCAGCAGCAGCAGCAGCAACAACAACAACAACAACAACAACAGCAACAGGAACAGGAACACAGCAGCAACAGGAACACAGCAGCATCAGCAGACACAGCACTGGTGGTGGTGGTGGTAGCAGTAGCAGTAGCAGTGCTGGCGGTGTGTCACTTAGCTGCAGGCAGCAGGACTGTGTGAGACTCACCTGCACCATGCAGCGATACGGGCCATCATCAGCAGGAAGAAGCGATGCAGGTGTTCTCATACCAGACTGTGCAGCACGCTGGGCTAGTGGACTGAGGCGGACATCATGATATCCCCCGTCCACTGCCACCCCTGTGAGTACTGGCACAGTGGCTGAAGAGGATGACGCAGTCGGACTGCTCGATAGCCGTTGGTCTGGAGAAGAAGACAGGGATACGCTTGGCGAAGGTCTGTCACTACCGGCCGCCATTTGAGCAATAAGTTCCTTAGTGCTGGGCCGGCGGGAGTCAGCAGACAGCGAGTCGCGCTGTTGTGCTAGGCGCTGTCGATCTGTGATCAGCTTCTCAAGCGATGTCGACTTGCGAGCTGCTGGAGGCTGGACATGCTGCTGCTGCTGGAAAATCGGTGTATCTCTGGAGAGGTGCGAGCAGAAGAGTAGCTCTAAGCGCTGGTTGAGCGGCTTACGCATCATGACGTCCAGTAGACGTGTGCACACGGTAATGTCAACTAACTCATGCACTTGCCACATCTGCAAAGAGAGCAGGCCAGTGCAAAACAACACACACACACACACACACACAGGCATACATACACACCACACATATACACACACACATATACACCACACACGCACGCACGCACGCACACACACACACACACAGGTGCAGGCACACACACACACGGGCACAGACGTACAGGCACAAACATAGGAGCAGACATACACAGCCACAGACAGACACGCAGACAGACACATAGACATACACACAGACAGACAAACACACACACTTAGTCACAAACTGTGCAAAATACCCTGAGAGTACCGCACCAGTACATCACGCCACACCACACTTGGCCACGCTATCCATGATGTAACAGAGGTGCGGTTTACTAGGGAGACAACACAGGAGGCTGGAACGTGAAATGATGTGGGGTTCGCTTCCAAGCTGCATGTTCCAGTTACCCTGGGGGTAGGGTTGATCCATGCGTGTTTGTATATGGCTTAGCTGGTCCGGGAATGTTTAGGGTCCGCAGATGAAGGCCTCTATCGTGATCGGATCACGTAGAACTTCCAAACCTGGGTTTGAAAAGCACAATGTTTTGGGTACTATGGCGTTGTGGTGTCTCTCTCTCTCGAGGCTACGATTCCCTGGTTGGCACTAACCCCACCCAGCAGCCCCTCATCTGTATCTGCTAGTCCTGTCCTGGTGATGACCAGTGGCGGATGGACCAGTCACTATGCAACACACGTACTAACGCACCAGGTTTATGCACAGCTTGACAATGTATAAAAACATTGTTCCAGATCAAAGGAAGCAAGTCAGCAGCAATGATAAAGACACTAAATGGATCAATTTTTTTTAATGTTTAGTGCAGTTGAGAAACTGAGAGCTGTGATATGGAAATGCCCAGAGTGCATGTTCAATGCCAGAAACCAGTCAAGCAGGGACTGGGGTCCATTGGTCATGCCCTCGGAGGTGTTCTGCAAATTGACCTACATGGCCGTCCTGACATATGTGTTCTCACCCTGAGGGACTTCGCTACCAGGGACGAGCTTGTGGCATGCGAGCACGAACTGGAAGGTGAAAGAGTGCGAGTGCTTCCAGGGGATGGCTCTGTTTCCGCAGAGTGCTTGTGTACGGGTGCGAGCCGTCCATGCATGTTGGTCATATCGAGTCAGCTCTGAGTGAATTGGTGAAATTGTCGGGAAAGTTGAGAGGGAGAGCATTGTCGTTGATAGCTGAAACACCAATCCTCTCTAGCTGTAAAGTCAATATAATTTTCGTTCAGGCGGGTGGATGGGTGGGTGGGTGTCCTTAGCCTAAAAGGCCTTGCGGACTGCCTTCACTTCAAGCAGTCGGTAGACTGCAAGGCTGAGGACCTGGAAGCATACCAGCAAGTAAAGCAATTAATTCCCTAGTTATCGATATTTTACACGAAATAATTTTTTTTTAAATGGATGAATGGGATGAGTACAAGTATCTGGTGCAGTTTGATGCCTGGAACTGGTGGAAGGCAACTGGTAGTGACGGAATTCCATGGTCCATTTTTGAAGGAATGTGCCGATGTTCGGGCCTATTCACTCGTCGTTCTATTCTGTGCTTCACTCCGGACAGGTGTAGTGCCCTCAGCGTTCAAACTGGCTTCAGTCGTACCCCTGTATAAATCCGGCGACCCCTCCCTCCCCACTAAATACCGACCTGTGTCTTTACTCCACATTATCTCTAAACTACTCAAGAAGATCGTCCAACGCCAACTTGTGCACCACCTTCGAACTAACCAGTGCCTCCCTACTACCCAATTTGCCTACCGTCAGCACCACTCCACTGAGGATGCCCTCTGCCTTCTCACTGACAGTCTCTTCGCTGCCAAGGACAGGGGAAACGTGACAGGAATATGCACATTGGTTATATCGAAAGCATTCGACGAAGTCCGCCTCACACAGCTCATTGTCGATCTGTTTGACGTCGGTGTGTGCGGATCGGCCTTCACCTGGTTTGCAAGTTACTTGACTACACGAAGTCTACACGACGTCTCTTCGTTCAGGCTGTTGTCATCCCTGACATGATCTATGGCAGTAACGCCTTCTTCCCCGCGCTTCTCAGTCGCCAGCTTGATCGCCTGGCTCTGCTGCAAAACAGGGCTATCCGAGATATCGACGGGCACCTACCCTACACAGCCGTGCATCCCCTGCTGGTGCAGCACGGCTTGTACCGCATAGGCGAACTGAGCAAGCGCAAGCCTTTAGTACTTGTCTTGAGGCGCCTGCACGGGAAGGCTAGTGATGTGTTGTCTGTACTGTTCGTCAAGACCTGCTGGCAAGAGAACCCGTCATCAGTGGTCCAGCGGTCTGCTAAGTAAGCCATACTCCACTCGCTCTGGCGCTTCTTGGCCTTCTGTCGCAGGATCTGCACTCTGGAACCTGCTGCCAGATGATGTTCGGACCATAGCAAGACAGAAGAAGTTTAGTATAAATTGCTTACCGTATTGTTGCTCAGACTAGCCCGCCTCCTAGCTCTCCTTGACCACCCTGACACCCAGTTACTCGCTTGACTCCTCTGTCAGGTCAATTTTCTTTCGTAGTAATCTGCAGCCTCGACAAATTCCTTTTCTTTCATTTTTAAATGCGGCTTCTCCGCTCGCCTTTTATTGGGCCAAGTTTCCGTTTATTGTGCGAACAAAAATAAATCAACCAACCAACCAACCACTTACTGCACCATTGCGCTATTAAACCTGCAACGATAACCAGCACTCTTCACCTTGAATAAGAAGCATTCACAAAGACCTCTCATATGCCATGCCACCCGCCCCACCACACATGTCCAGTGTTGTGTGTGTGTGTGTGTGTGTGTGCAAGCGCGCGCACGCACGTGTGTGTGTGTGTGTGTGTGTGTTCACACGGACCTATCCGTGGCTGGAGTGCGTAACTGGTTTGAGTTGGCAAGCGATCGTGGAGAGTGGCGTGGAGTGGTGACAGCAGCAGGTGAGGACAAGGAACCCGCCCCGAAGAGCATCGAGTGCCCAACCTGCAACCGTCTGTTCCGCCGTAGTTCCGACATGGTCCGTCACAAGTGTTCAGCAATCCGTCAGCTCCCGGTATCGGAGCAGCCTGGATCAGTACAGTGTCCAACATGCAACCGATGGCTACGTAGCAGAGGAGGCTTTGCGGTGCATAAGTGTCGGCTAGGCGATGTCGACCAGCCGCCGGCCCCTGCCCCTGCTCCTCTTGTTGTTCCTGGTGTAACTTGCACGAACTGTCAGCGTTCATTTAAATCGGCTGCGGGTCTCAAGCGTCACCGTTGTGGAACCTGTCCAAAGCGCCCTACTGTGGCTGAACGCCAACAATTCAAGTTTCACTGCCAAGTTTGCCACAACCGACGGTTCCGGAGGCGGCAAGATCTGGAACGCCACTTGGAGCATTGCCTTCCTCCCCCCTAACCTCTCTGACAGTACCTCCCTTTGGGGAGCGGCGTGGCCATTTCTGGCAGCTGTCAATAGTAGTAGTAGTAGTAGTAGTAGTGTGTGTGTGTGTGAGCTAGGCAAACAACAGTGTGCACTTACGTCAAATAGCCGCTCTGCATAGCTGACGTGAGAATCTCCCAGTTTCCACGGCTGCATGGCAGTGAAGAAGTCGACAAAGTGCTCCTTGTCCAGCGTCAGCGAGTCAACAGGATCGTTATCACTGTGCCCTCGTACTACAGGCTGACTCTTGTAGGACGTACTGCTACGATGATGCTCCTGATCACAGGCACCATGCACCACACACGAAAGAAAACATAGAACACAAAAGAAAGGAGAATCAGCTGCAACACATTCAAAAATGTACAACACATTATGATAGTGTCTACAAGCAGTATCACTGGGAAAGTGAGAATGTTAGTCAAGATATTGGCACTGGTAGGATTGCAAAAAAGCCTGCGTGAAGCAAAGCTGCACAAGCTCAGGGTCATTTCTAACTGATTAACTCAGCATTAATTTCAACGACGTTTCAGCAAATTGCATATTACGGGCGAAGTCTTACCAGGAACTCCAAGTAGATGATTCCAAGCTCTTCGCGAGTGAAGCTGGTCTTTGTACCAATAGCACGGACGATAGTTCTCCTGTTGTTATCCTCAAGGGTCTAGTGCAGCAATGAAACACAAAGGGGGAGAGAGAAAGAGAAAAGAGAGAGAGAGAGAGAGAGAGAGAGAGAGAGAGAGAGAGAGGGGGGGGGGGGGGGGGGAGACCAGAAAACCAGGAAGATTTTTACATCGACATATCCACAATTACTGTACCCACATACACATCAACAACGCAAACACGCGGTTTTAGTTTAAGTAGGGCAAACAGGGCAGATGTACAATACAGTAGAACCTGATGTAAGCCACCTCTGGGTTTAGCCACCTCTGGGTTTAGCCACCTCTGGGTTTAGCCACCTCTGGGTTTAGCCACCTCTGGGTTTAGCCACCTCTGGGTTTAGCCACCTCTGGGTTTAGCCACCTCTGGGTTTAGCCACCTCTGGGTTTAGCCACCTCTGGGTTTAGCCACCTCTGGGTTTAGCCACCTCTGGGTTTAGCCACCTCTGGGTTTAGCCACCTCTGGGTTTAGCCACCTCTGGGTTTAGCCACCTCTGGGTTTAGCCACCTCTGGGTTTAGCCACCTCTGGGTTTAGCCACCTCTGGGTTTAGCCACCTCTGGGTTTAGCCACCTCTGGGTTTAGCCACCTCTGGGTTTAGCCACCTCTGGGTTTAGCCACCTCTGGGTTTAGCCACCTCTGGGTTTAGCCACCTCTGGGTTTAGCCACCTCTGGGTTTAGCCACCTCTGGGTTTAGCCACCTCTGGGTTTAGCCACCTCTGGGTTTAGCCACCTCTGGGTTTAGCCACCTCTGGGTTTAGCCACCTCTGGGTTTAGCCACCTCTGGGTTTAGCCACCTCTGGGTTTAGCCACCTCTGGGTTTAGCCACCTCTGGGTTTAGCCACCTCTGGGTTTAGCCACCTCTGGGTTTAGCCACCTCTGGGTTTAGCCACCTCTGGGTTTAGCCACCTCTGGGTTTAGCGACCACTTGCTCTTAACCACCGTCTTTCCATGCACTGACAGTTCTACACAGATACTGTGGGACCTGGTTCTAAAGACCACCTGGCTTTAACGACCGCTTTTGCTTGCTTGCGTGGGGTCGTTGCTTAAACCAGGTTTTACTGTATCACTGATTGGCTGCGCGTTGCTCAAATCTCACAGACAGCACCCACTCCCCAACTCAAGTCTAGCCTCCCATCCTCACCTTTACAACCTCCAGCCTCAGCTTCATTCGAAAGCTGTCAATCGCCTCCTCAGTCACGAAGCTAAACTGTTTGTAGCCGGCCATGATCAGATCACTGACGTCGACAGACTTCAAAGATGTCTGAAAATAGAGGAACAGAAACACACAAAGTCACAAACCCATGATTACCCGCTGATGTGAACACACAAACCCATGACTACCCGCTGATGTGAACACATCATGTGCACGGTCACGGTCACAGCGCACACAAACATAACATACACACACGCATGCACACACACACGTACCCGCACCCACCCACCCACCCACACACGCACGCACGCACCCACCCACACACACACACATACACATACACAACTACTTGAGTAGTGACACACCACCTCCTCCATGATTCTTACCGCCATGCCTGCCTTGACAGCAGCAGTGGGTATTGGTGGCAGGACAACAGGCAGGGTTGCGTCACGGTTGTTCACTCTTTCCAAATACTCAGTTAGACGAGACATGGCCTCTCCTTCGTCATCCACCTCCAGCAAGTCTCGCCTATTCGCTTCCAGGACAGCCAACGCCACTTGAAACAATGCCTGCAGGAGAGCAAGAGCATGATGATCATACTAGGACCATGAATGTGAAGAGCAGAACGATGTGAAGACCTATCAAAGCTGTCAAAGTGAACATAGTTTGAAAATCAACTGTTATGTACAAGCTGTAACATTTAGACACTTATAATACATACATAAACAGTGGGTACATACACACATGTACATACGCATACATAAATCCCCCCTCCCCAACACACACACACACACACACACTACATGAGCAGGGACACTGACTGACCTTGGAGCCGTCGAAGAAAAAGCAGTCAAGCACGTTCACAGCACTGGCATAGGGCATTACACTGAAGTAACAAATAAGAACAATAAGAACAACATCAAAATCACAGCAACAATGAAATGCCAACACCAACAGCAGCAGAAGACCAAACAGAAAACGAGAACATGTGACTGCGCATGCGAGGATATGAAAGTGAAATAAATCAGCAGTCGCTTGGCTCAGCACACATTGCCTTGAGGATGTCCTTTGCCGTGGGAGTGTTGCTAGACACTTTACTGTTACAGATGACAGCAGACGAGGAGAGACTGAGTACAAGAGAATGTTTATTACTGCCACACGGCATGCTCACACGCCTGTCAACAGCAGCTCCAGGGATAGGGGGAGGGGGGCTCGACTGAGCACAGCTGCAGGGATGTGGTGGGGATGTGGCGGGGGGTGGGTGGAGAGGGTGGAGAGGGTGACTCACCTGAGGAAGATGGTTAAGAACCAGGACAAGGAGATCATCGACAGTACACCTAACTCGTGCAGCTTGTCATAGAGTTCCGGAAGGTGCTCTTTCGCTAATGCCTCAAATACACCTGAATGCACAAAATCATAACGAATAGCCATTGTTACTCAGCGAAATGCACACAGCTTGCACATGAGAGCTTCAAGCTTCAAAAATTATAACAGTGCATTGTCTATGACCAACATGAAGTTGCCTTTTATTTTTATATCTTATTTCTGCTACAACCAAAGTGAACCAAAGTGATAAGAAAATCTGGGCGTTTGTTCTTGCAATGGATATGGATGAACACACGATCCCGCAAGCCATTTCATCGACCACCGTGGATCTCTTTACTGTTATCAATGGACACCTGAGTGCTTTGGAAGTGGCTGTGGAGTCTGGAAGGAGCTTGGCCATGCGACCAATCCACGCTGTCCAATGAATCAGAGCTCCAGCCATCCAGGTTGGGCGCAAGCAGCCAGTCCCAGGAGCCTGCCAGTTGCTTGGGTGTATCCAAGGTTGGCTTGCCATGTGTAAGAATATTGCTAACATCTAGCTCCTCGAGTGGGCAGGTCTTCTTGAGTGATGGTAATAAGTTAAGAACAGCACCACAAGCGGGCAGACACCCTCGTGTGTGGATATGGGTACCGTACAGGTGATGCGGAGCCTGCCTCGGGGTCCTCTGACATCAAGTTGTTCCTGCAAGAGCGCATTCAGTCCAAGCCGAAATCCCAGAAAGCATTGGGCTCGGTGGTCAAGCAGTATAAGGATGCTCAAGCTCCTCCAAAGTCTAGCAGCATCAAGGCTGGCTCCGGAGGTGTGTCGACAGGTGGACACCAGTTTTTCGCCCAAGGAACCGGGGTCTGCACGAACGCATTGGATCTTAGTACTTCGAAGTACATGATACACACACTCATGTACACACACACACACACACACACAGAGTCACAACTCTCCCCGTACCTTGATCCACCAAGGCTCCTGCCACTTTAGTGTTATAGTAGTCCGGTAGTAGACGCTCACACAGGGCTACCATCAGCCAGAATGCCTCCTCCTCAGAGCAGTAGAGTAGTAGAACAGAGCAGACTATGTTCATGGCCTGGCAGTAACCTACACACACACACACACACACACACACACACACACACACACACACACACACACACACACACACACACACACACACACGCACACGCACACACACACACACACACACACACACACATGTATACACAGATAAACACACATGGACTATGTCTACTGGAGACCTGGATATCACAGCAGAGATTAGACATAAGGTACCACATCCACAATGCATCACATAACGTTACCACTTTGATTACTAAAGCAAGGCAACGAAAGAGGCCAAAATTCTTGGTAAACTGCCACTACTGTATGATCACCATCTTCATAGTCACCGAACCAGTTGCGTGCAGACCTGTTCGCTTGCAATGACATAATAGACAAAAAACTGGCCTACTCATGGACACAGAAGTCAGAACAGTTGCAACTCCGAGTTTCACATTTTATATTGCCTGATGATTGCTCAGCGTGAAATTCGCAGTTGCAATCGACCGTGCCTGTGTGAGAGAGCTCTGTGCCCCCCCCCCCCCCCCACACACAGGTTGGGGGAGGGGGAAGGGGCGTTGGAAGGTGCTCGACAACGGTGGAGCCATGAAGAGTCGGGGGCCTAAAAAGATTGAACAAATTGGGCCCAACTAGCCCATATTTTATTGCTTCGAAAAGCACAATACGAAATTATTGGTGCGGCCAAAGCCACACCAGTTCCGATGGCCCTTGGGGGGGTTGAGAACTGTTTTAGCAGTGGAAGTCGCCTACTACGTAAAGTACCATGGACATTACATACTGCAGAACATAAAGTACATAATTATACTATTCCACGGCATCCTACATTTATGCTATACATGTACCAGTTATTTGATATATCGGATATGGAGGACCCAGGCTATAAAGTAGATTTATTACGGCTCTTGCTGGTACGTTATATTGAAATTTGAATATACTAGTAAAAAAAAGAAGTAAAGTTTGCACGTCCGCGTTACCACCGGCTATGCAATTGCGTTGAGAAACACAACCAGCTTAGGAAGTTTCGCATGTGCCAGGCCACCACCATGCCTGTACCAGTACTATAGTAATTGAAAAGGCAACATTTAAAATTCAGCAAAAGAAGAAAAAGAAAAGAAGCAGTGCAGTGCAGTGCAGTGCAACACGTACCAATAGCTGGATTTCGTACAGCATACGCAGTAAGTACACGCCGTAATGCGCTGATACCCGTGTCACATTGAAATGCTTTGTGCTCAGGAAGAGACCTGCATCAATGTGAGCAGAACAAAACACACACCACGCCACACACAAGATAGCAAAAGACACCACAAAACAGAAGACAGCAAAAGACACCATACATACAAGATGGCTACTGTATTTTAACGGTTTATAAGTCGATCCCCAACATACGGGGCCTCGATTTACGATTTCAATAGCGGTTAAACCCCGGTTGCAAGTCAACTGACCCTTTTTTTAATTCGGGTTTTAGGTCATGAAAGGCTGACTTATAACCGGAGAATACGGTATGAGTGAGTTGACTTCCGGAGAACATCCTGGCATCAACTAGTATCAGAACAGAAGGCACGGGTGCAGGATTTAGAAATAGATAAGGTGCCACACAACTAGTAGTCAGGTTCACGTTGCTGCTGCTACTGCTGCTGCTGGTGTAGATACCAGACAGTGTACTGATATGCACTCCATGCCCTAGGTTATCCAGAGAAGGCAGAGATGAAGAATTGACTGTGCTACATCATCACATGTGCTACAAATGTCATACTAGTAATGCGTTTGTGCATCTGCTATCTAAGAAAGGCACTGTGTTGGGAGTCTTGGTCATATACTGTCTGATGAGTGTTTCACACGACAACTCCCAGTAACGACGGAAAAGGATTTGTTTGCTTCATTGCTGTGTGATCATTGTAAGAAAGGCACTGTACAGCATACGGAACTGTAAAAGTACAAGGCATCGTGCAGCATAAGGCTTCCAGTACACCAGCAGCCGTACACCCTTGACGAATACCAGGAGAGGCATGGCTAAGCAGGGGAGAGTCAAAAGGCCACAAGGGCATACCCTACGCTTACCTATGAAGATCTCGCTCAATCTCCTCAGCCACTGCTACTGGCACTTCAGACATGGCACGCAGTGTCAGCTTGCAGTAGTAGTTCGGATGTGTTTGCAGCTAAAGGCAAGCAAGATTGACAGGAAACCATGAGATGTTCACATTGTTCAGCAGGCTTTGCCAAAGATGTCAGTACTCAAAGATAAATACCTCGTCCCAACACACAGCGATGAAACAAGAGCACAATCAATGGGAAGCTTAGGATGCAGATTCCTGCATTGATAGTAGAGCATTCAGTAATCCACCTGCAGCAGTTACATGTATAGATGTACATGTACATAGGACAAACACAACTCACATCATTCATGGCCCCAGAGCTACAAAGCCAGAGCTCTGCTCGCAGTGAGTCTGGTATGCCCTTCAGTACCAGGTCCATTATTTGCGTGTTGCGATACATAGACACACCCCTAGTCAGTTACAGAATAGAAACACACACGTACACATGTACAAACGTACACACACACACACACACACACACACACACACACACACACACACACACACACACACACACACACACACACACACACACACACACACACACACACACACACACACACACACACACACACACACACACACACACACACACACACACACACACACACACACACACACACACACACACACACACACACACACACACACACACACACACACACACACACACACACACACACACACACACACACACACACACACACACACACACACACACACACACAGTAAAACAGTTAGACTTGACACTGCATGATCACCATCACAGGCCAGGTACTTGTATGTGCCAATTGCAAACCTCAATACACACAGCTCCTAGCCAGTGAGAAACTGTGCACATACGGCTAAGAGTACAGCCGTTTAGACCACCCAGATAACCTACCACACACAAGAACACAGGCACACATGTTGGAATATGTACTTGTTTCAACACAGCCACACACACACACACACACACACACACGCACACACGCGCACACACTGACACATACACAGACACACACAGAAGTGCACACTCACACGGTCGCACACACACGCACACACGCGTGCACACACACACACACACACACACACACACACACACACACAGGTACCATGGTGTGCACATACCTGCCATACTCTGCGAAATGAAGACCCCACAGGTGTATTTTGATTGCCTCTCGCGCTTGCGCATTCTGTGGAATGTCCTGCTTGAAGGTGTTCATCAGTGCATCAGATAGCTTTGACTTGGCCTCCACAAGCTCCTGGTCTTCTTCCTCTACAAAACTACATACACAGCAAGTCAACACAAAAGAGCAGCGAGCAGATTAGCGACTGCACAAGAGGATATCCAACAAGAACAGAGACTCCCTCGAGTCTACGGCTACGGACCGGGGAGAATCCATAAATACAAATACAAACAAACAGCCATATCAGGCAACAAAGACAGTTCTGATGTCTTGATGGACAACTCTCCATAAAATAGCACTAGTGGACACAGAATTGAAAGCAGATGCAGCCCTGTCGCCCAACTTATTCAACAAAGAACCAGTGAAAACATGCCACGTTTGCAGCAACGAGTTGGGAATGATTGAACATTTTACATTTGCTAGACACGCATGTCTCTCCTCAAAAATCTACCGTCTTTAAAAAGATTCTCCACACTCTATTGTACTCAACTACTAGCTACTTCAAAAGAGAAAAGGAGAGAGAGAGAGAGAGAGAGAGAGAGAGAGAGATAGAGAGAGAGAGATAGACAGAGAGAGATAGACAGATAGAGAGAGTGGGGGGGGGGGGGGGGGGGGGGCACAGTCATTGGACTGCAGTGCGCACAGGGAGCATGTCTAATGAATCAAAAACTGCAATGGTGCCCTGGTACTGTGGTAGCAGCAGCACGGCATATTCAGTACCTGATGCTCTCTCCTTGAGCCCTCTCAAGGTAGGACGAGATTTGTTCGCACACAAAATCCCGGTGTCGCAGCTGAGCAAACAGGAACGTTGCCTACAACACAGAACACCAAACGGATGACCAGAACTACCATACATGTACTCAAGAGTACTTACCCCCCCCCCCCCAAGAGTGTGAAACTCCCGCATATCCTGCTGTGCCGACAGAATTTCAAGTTGACGTCATTCTTATGATGCTATGCTCCTTGCATCAGCGATTTACGACATTTGTACAGGGTGTCAACGCATCACACGCGTTTCCCTGTACCAAGAGTACAGTCATAACCATGTACAAGAGTATTCTAATTTCAGAAATTTTCGGTGCTCAATATTTTCGGTACGAGGGCAAAAGGCCAGGTTAGGTGAACAGAAATTTTAGGTACAGAGGAGCAATTCCCTATTGGATTATGTGTGTTAGTGTTTTTTTCGGTGTATTGAAATTTTAGGTATGACACAGACGCAACGAAAGTACCGAAAGTAAAAGTACACCGAAAATTTGTGAAATTACAGTAAACCATGTACTTCTTGCTTGTCCTAGTTTGCACAGGATGAAAAAGGGGGCTTTGTCCACCACAGGTCCGGGATAGGTCTGACTATACGTGTACAGAGGGCATTGCATCATACAAATGACGTCAACTTGAAATTCTGCCGGGACAGAATCCATAGTGGAGTTGCACACTCTTGGGGGGGGGGGGGGGGTGCCCTTGTTGTATAAAACAATAAAAAGAAATGTTACGGCTCATGTGCAGGGCATAGCTTAAGGATTTCATTTAGCTCGGACAAATGTCCTTCCGTTTTGAAATCTGTCCGGACACGCCCGGACATTTTCCACAACACATTTTCGGGGTGTTTCTTCTTCTTTTTTTTTTAGTAGGCGGATCAAGTAAATATAGTGAAGTCTACGCCTGAGACTACGGTGTACGTGTTAGTTGTACAACATGCAAGTCTCATTTGGCACGAAGCTCCGAAGAAAGCCCAACTCTGCATAAAAAGGTCGAAAGGTCGCTGCTCTTTTTTTACTTTTTGACCGGACACTATGTCCGGTGAAATTGAAAACGTCCAGTCAGTGGCCGAAAATGGCCGGAAAGTGTCCGATGTCCGGCCGTTAATCTATGCCCTGATGTGAGACCCAGTCAGAGTGAGCTCCCCGCATCTGTAGGAATGCCACCACCGTCCAAGGATCAGGGTGCACATGCAATGGTGGGCGGTGAGTAGAACAGACCCGCAACCAAAGTGGTCAAAGACCGAAAAATACCATTCGCTGCATCAATGTTACCCTCGTGCCAGGCCACGTGTATTAATTTTTATACTATTACACATAGCAGTGATCTAGCCAAAGCCGGCTCAGCCATTCTGCCGGGCCTAATTTTGGCCGGCTGCAGTCACCCCCATGTAGACTGTAGTGCCCCATATCCTAGGCGTAGGTATGTACAGTACAGTACGTAGCACTGGCTACTCAGGCTCAGTGCTAGCTCTTCACTCAAGCTCAAATGCACTTGAGTATGCACTTGAGTACGTCAGTAAAATGTAACAGGTTGGGTCATGGTTCGCTGCTTCTGGTGGTGTACATGGCTGTGGCTAGGCTGGGTCTTGTCAGATGACCAATGATTATGTACACTGCATGCAGACATGACCTTGGTGAACACATGATCCATGCTCATGTAGCTGTTTGCTTCCTTTTTCATATTTTGTTAATTTACCTATAATCACATTCACGTTCACAACTGCCTCATGAATGCCCATAATTGGACGAAGCGAAAGAAGATGCAAGCTGCAATGAAAGATTTGTAGTGGTGTGTGTGTGTGTGTGTGTCCGTGTGGATACGTGACTGATGGCGGGGGTCTGGGGGCGCAGCCCCCAGAACGATGCATTTTAACTAGAACGTGTTGGCCGGCTGGCATAAAATCCTGGCTAGACCTCTGCGTAGTGCCGTGGACATGGAAATCCGGTTGAATGGCCCCGGTGGACATGGAAATCCGGTTGAATGACCGGGGCCGGTGCCCTAAGTGCGTACAGAACATTGCATGTTCAGTGCACAATCATGTTGATCGCATGCGTACTCACGGCTGCAGGGCTAGCGCCCTGGGGCCGCTTGACCTCCGACTGGATTTCCATGTCCACGACAGTAGTTATTTAGAAACTGCCCAGCAAAAAGACTAACAACAACTGAGCAAACAGGATAGCACAAGACACAGCTCGAAATGCGGCAGCAAATGTGTCGAGCAGCTGGTTGAGATTTCCCATGACCAAAACCAAGTGGGGAAAGTACATGCAATTGTTACTACTGGAAGCATGGACATCCCATTACTGTACCTTGGACTTCATGATGATGTGAATGCCAAATGGTATTGCGTCCTCATCCATGCGATCAAATACAGCGATGTCACGGATAGGTATCACGGCCGAGCAAAGACTTTTCATCTAGACGGACACAGAACAAAGCATAACAGAACAACAGTGAGAGGGAGAGAGACGGGGGGAGAGAGAGAGAGACGGGAGAGAGAGAGCGCGCGCGCGCGCGCGCGCGCGCGAGAGAGAGAGAGAGAGAGAGAGAGAGAGAGAGAGAGAGAGAGAGAGATAGAGAGAGAGAGAGAGGGGGGGGAAGGGGGGAGACAGACAGAGGGAGGGTTAGAGACAGACGGACAGAAAGATAGACAGATAGGCACAGAGAGAGAGATGGAGAGAGTTAGATGAAGAATACAGACTCAGACATCTGGAGATCATTTCTAAATTGGATAAATACAGGAAAACACAATTATGTACAGAATTCCACAGGGACTCAAGTGCTGCTCCTGAACCTGACAGACTCCTGCAGCTTCAGGAAAGTTCGTTATACAATCCTTCAGAACTTGGCCACAAAAAAATTCAAAAACCCTAAAATACAACAGCAACGGTCACACAAACATCCCTCCCTCCCTCCCTCCCTCTGTCTCTGTCTGTCTGTCTGTCTGTCTGCCTGTCTCTCTCTCTCTCTCTCTCTCTCTCTCTCTCTCTCTCTCTCTCTCTCTCTCTCTCTCTCTCTCTCTCTCTCTCTCTCTCTCTCTCCCTCCCTCCCTTCCTCCCTCTCTTTCTCTACCCACCTTTGTCGTGAAGCAGAGGTAGTTAGCTGAGCAGTAGAGCTTGCCAAGGGCATGCGATTTAGAATACGGCAGCCACAAGGTACAATCAAAGCTACCTTCCAGTTGTTCTTCCTCAGGTAACCGGAAAAGAATCCTACAAGAAAACCAGGTCAACACAGAGAAGCACACATGCAATGAGTATACAATACAGCTCTTGGTACACACAAGGCTGGTGACAAGGGCATGACAAACCAATAGCCATAGCACCAGCAGCAGCACCAGCAGCAGCAGTGGCAAAAGCAGCAGCAACAACAGCAAGTGGTGTGAGCAGTACTCAACCGGTAGGTCTTGTCAAGTACTTGGTAGATAACAACATTGGATTCTGTTCCATACAGTTACATGTATGTTTACGCAGTTGAAATCTCTGTCTAAGCCGTTAGCCACTAACTCGCTCTGCCTTTTGCGGGAAGGGTTTATACTACTTCGTAGGGTTTATACAGTTAGAAAAAAGAACATACTGAAAATGATGGCTTTGAGCTCTGGTGTCCAGGTCTTGCTTGATAGTGCTGGGCTTCTTGGACGTCTTCTGCTCACTGAGAAAAGCAGACATGTAGAACAAGTGGTAATGTAGTACACATTACGACATTCATAAGCATACCCAACAAGAGTCTACGATAATGACCTTTCATGCGGTGAACCAGGGTGTTGCATACCGTATTATCTCTAACATAAGCACAGTCTCCAATAATAGCACGTCTCCAATAATAGAACACCTTGGGGCGACATTCAAAAAATAAAGTGCTCAGTCTCCATTATAAGCACACTGTGTAAATACATTGTCTGTACCGGCGAAAAACCCCTGAAATGTGTGTGTCTGACATGAATTTGGCATGGCAACATGCCTCTGAAATGAGGATGAAATAATAATGGAACAGTCTCCAATAAAGGAACGTCTCCATTAATAGCACGGGGCGGAGGTACATTGAAAAAATAAAGGACCGTGCTTATATTAGAGATAATACGGTAACTGGTTAGTATGACTACACACTAGGCTTACTACACACAGTGTGCTAGTTCAGCTAACTGTAATGGAAAGCAAGACATAATCAAGATAAGGGGCCGGTCGAGGGAGGTACCCAGATAAAAGAGGTTCTACAGCACACTAAAACCTGTGAAAGGGACCACCCTGACCCAGCCATTACCTGTGAAGGGGACCACCCTAACAAGGGCATCACCTGTACCAGAGGACCACTAGCAACAGGTGTAAAAGGTATCACACCACAAATATAGCCCGGGATAAGACAACCATCTGGAGCACGCATGGAAACTCCAAACCTGGTTTCAGCAGCCACTCATGAGACCCCTAAACCTAGTGCCCATACACAGGTGGTCTCTAAAACAAGGTGACCAGTGCACATTCTACACATTCGTGGCCAAAGAATCAAGAATGGTGGCCGTACACACCAGGTGGTCGTTGAACCAGGTCCGCCTGTATAGTCTGTAAGCACATGTACTGATGTAGCAAGACATGCAGTCTTACCCAGGTTCCAAAGTGGTGTCACGCTTCTGCAAACCCGACGTAGTATTACTCCCCGTCAACAGCCTGCAAAACGAGAATGACACAGACTCCGAGTAATGAACCACCATGTGAGTGAGTGAAAGACGGACCAAAGGGTGCAAGAGGGAAAGAGAAAAGGGAAAGTGAGAGAGAGAGAGAGAGAGAGAGAGTGAGTGAGAGAGGTGTGTGTGTGTGTGCGTGTGCGTGCGCGTGCATGTGTGTGTGTGTGTGTGTGTGTGTGTGTGTGTGTGTGTGTGTGTGTGTGTGTGTGTGTGTGTGTGTGTGTGTGTGTGTGTGAACGTGTCAGTAAAACGGAGTCTCATTTTGAACTAGAGGGGAAAGAAGTACAAAAAATAAGATACTTCACTATAATCTTGGCTGACTCAAGACAAGCAGCAATGAGCTAAGAGATGTTTACAAAAGTACAGCACTATGCCATTTAGCTTCACAGCACATGTACAACTTACCCCTTCATAGCCACTGCAACCAGCTGTTCCATCAGTGCAAAGGTCTCATCACGGTGCATAAACACTGCAAAGATATACTGTTCACAAGACACAGTACAGCGGAGGAGAACAATGAAGAATGAAATCAGTTTTTAACACTGTGTCAGCACGTGACATCACATTTCTATTCAGGGTTCTAGCCAGCCCCCACCCCTCATTCCTACACTGATGGGGCATCCCCCTTTTACTTGTGCAAAAAAGAAAAGTGCTGCCCCTACTCCTCTCAATCTTCTTCAATTTTATTGTTTTTCAGTTCACACAACAGACATGCAGTCACAGATCGATTGGTTGGGCGGGCGCTGAGCCAGTACGTTGCATTTTGTGTGACAAGGCAACATTGGAAAATGGAAAAACCATGGGTGCACTGGTGTTTGTTTCCCCTGCTCCCCCCCCCCCCCCCCCTCTCTCCCTCTCTCCCTCTCTCCCTCTCTCTCTCTCTCTCTCTCTCTCTCTCTCTCTCTCTCTCTCTCTCTCTCTCTCTCTCTCTCTCTCTCTCTCTCTCTCTCTCTCTCTCTCTCTCTCTCTCTCTCTCTCTCTCTCTCTCTCTCTCTCTCTCTCTCTCTCTCTCTCTCTCTCTCTCTCTTGAGAACACAGCGGACAGTACTCACAAAAGTATCAACAATAAACGCAAGATTTCTTGCAGCACACGGCATAGGAGGGGGCAAGCGGTTATCCATACCTCATCATCTCTCGTGCAAACTTGAATCCCAGCAGCTACCAGCACGGAGTTCTTTTTCTGTAACCTCTGCAAAGACAAGAGGAGCATGCAACATTGAAAGCAACAAACACTTTAAAACAAGATACGGACAACATAAAAAAATACTAATGAATACTTATGCCAGTGAAGACAGTGAGCAGCTCAAATAGAATAGACCAATAGATAGTCTGGGTTCGAAAGGGGGCATCACGGCTGCGAGTTCACTGTACGAAGTATGCTGGCCTCCACGCATGTGAGCATGCTGCCTCCTTTCACAAGCGCAAGTGGGCGATCATGCTGTTTAGCTGCGGGGCTGTGGGCTGAGACGAAAGAAAACAGATCGCATCGATGTTCGGACAGGTCTGGTTTTCAGTTCGCCCGACTGTGATTTTGTGAACGAAATGCCTGGCCATGACCATTGCTGTGTCCCTACGTGTTCGACAAAGGAGGTCAACAAGTATCTTGGCGTCCTTCCATAGGTTCCCGAGCGAAGCTGGCCTGCGAAAGCAGTGAGTTCACGCGATCCGCCGCGAGGAGGGAGAAGCGTTCACTAGATCAAAACACACGGTTGTTTGCAGTGAGTATTTCCAAGACTCCTGCTTCTACCCGCTGCCTCTGCTTTCTGGCGAAGCGACTAAACGAGTCCACCGCCGGCTAAAGCCGAACAGCATTCCTTCCAAGTTTGACTTTCGGCAAGCAGCACCCGATCGCCCTTCGCCCGCAGTACGCCGCAGAGTTCATGAGGAGCGTCTGCTTGAGTTCGAGGCAGAGAAATTTCGGCCACGATTTGGCCCCAAGACCGAGGTGGAGGTGATGGGGGAGGAACTCTCTCTCCGGGATCAGCATAATGCAGAGCTCAGGAAGCAGCTGGAAGTAGCGAAGGTGGAGATCGTGAAGCTGAGATCACAGCTGCTACGGTACGTGGATGGAAGTGCCGGAGCATGATTTGAAGGAGTAAAAATAGTAGGTCGCTCCTACAAATATGCTATAGGTATGCTCAAATGCAAGAAGATAGTGAGCAGTTGCATTTTCTGACAGGAGTCACGCCAGAAATATGGTCAGTGCTCTGGGACTACCTCGAGCCCGCGCGGACATCCGTAATCAGCTACAGTTCCGCGCTCACTGAGGACAAGGGAAGAAAGATAACCTCAGGGAGTGGCCGTAAGTCAGCATTGGAGTTGGAGGACCAACAACTTCTTTTGACACTAATGCGACTGCGACTGGGGAGGATGGAGCAGGAGCTTGCATACCAGTTTGGCATTAACAAGTCGGCGACATCTCGCTATTTTATCACGTGGGTGAACGTTCTCTATCTGCGTCTTGGAAGTATCCCCATATGGCCGACGTGGGAGGATGTCCAGACTTCGATGCCACAAGTGTTTCCAAGGTCTTATCCAAAGACTTTCTGCGTTGTTGATGCCACTGAGTTGCGCTGCGAAGTTCCCTCCTCTTTGTCCACCCAGTCGCAGCACTATAGCAGCTACAAGTCACACACCACGGCAAAGGGACTGGTGGCGATAGCTCCTAGTGGAGCTTTCATATTAATTTTGTCAGCGAACTCTGCACAGGTGAGCTCGGTGTGCTAAGCGAGAGTTTGGCCATCACATCTCAGTTTGTGAATACACTGTGTTCCGGGAGAAATTCCTAAGTACAATGCATATAAGAACTCAGATGGTGAGCCAAGGGAAAAATTGTAACACTTTTCCATGTTATAACGCGTATCCCCTGCTTTGTCTGAACTCGGATACCTCAGTGTGCATTTGCTGGCATACGTTTTATACTCGGTGCACAAAGCACGCCAGGGATCTTGAGCCTGAAGTAGTGCGTATGAAGTACAAACGATACCCCAGGAAATGTAATACGTGTATCAGTCGACAGACTGTCAATCTGATAAGCATGCCTTTGCATGTGTTTCGGTTTCACGGGAGCAATTTCTGACTGTCAAATCATACTTGAAAGTGGATTTCTGGATCTGCTTCGGAGCATGCCTGCTGGATGCAGCATCATGGCTGATCGTGGATTTGAAATCCAAGACCTTCTAGTGCCTTAAGCTGTGTTCTCAACTGGCGCGTGGACGCGGTATGCTTGCGGTTCATGCGTGCCCAAACGCGCGCTCAGGCTTTCACAAAAAAGAGCAATTCGAGCCGTATTTAGCGCGTGCGACACCTTCGAGTACTAATGTTTTGACCCCGCCAGTCAAAGTGACTGGCATGTACGCTGATCCGCGCCTGATACGCGCTGAAAATTCCAACATGTTGGAATTTCCATTTCGGTGCGTTTCCGTACGCATGACGCCCCAAAAGCCAGCAAAATACGCACAAACGCGTGGTTTCATGCGTACACGCGCCAGTTGTGAACACAGCTTTACAGTCTCCTCCTAAACATTCCTCCATTCAAGGTAGGCGTGGATGCTGTCTGATATGGCTTTGCTCACAGCTTTCCTATGACTGCAACACAACAACAACACTAGATAAGAGCTATGTGCAATTGTCCATTTTATAGCTTTCTTTCAAACACAAAATTTAATACACTCACACGCCTCTTATCCGGACGCCTCAGATACGGGCATGTCTCTCTACCGGGCACCGGGCTTGAGTTCCTATGGCAAAAATGCTTTGAATTTGGGGGGTTTGAACTTTTTTCGTATGCGCAAATGCTTATTTGTCACTGCCAACCTGTGAAATCCACACATTTTTATCAATGGATTCTTTCTGTAACCTGAACATGTGCAATACGTGTCAAATAAACTTCTTCAAAAAATGATTATGATACATGGTAGATGAGTTATCTTGAGATACGGGCAGTGCCCGGTCCCAAGGGTGCCCGGATAAGAGACGTCCGAGTGTACATGCAAACTGTTGCTTAACGAAATCTTACTAAATATCCTATACGTCCTCCATGTACACGCGACTTTCACGGCACTTCTGACAAGCTGTAAGTACGCAGTCCGAGATTTGAATTCTCAGACAACTTTATGTAGGTGTCACGCAGACCAATTTAATAGGTCCTGGCAAAATTTCTGATTAGAAGGCATATTCGAATTACATGTATCATTATTCCACCTGCTGTGTGATCCATACAATGCGTAGCAATCTAAAGAATTTGCAATCCACGTAACTCACAACCTACCACAACATCAGCAAATCGCAGCTTGACAGATACTTCAGTTCCCATGAAGTATGAATAGAAACAGAGATAGTTAACAGACAGATACAGCCAACCCTGGTGAGGCAAGTTGTTCTGGATCAAGCTGCAGGAATAGTCTGTGCACACACACAGAGCAAGGGAGGAGAGAGAGAGAGAGACCGAAAAAGCAGTAAAAAGAGAGGATAAGTCTGTTGCAACAAAGTTTTGCATTTACTCATGACCATCAGGGACCTGGTTGGTAAAAAGTTCTAAAAACAGGTGACCTCGACATAAAGGGAGAACTAGGTGAGGAGGCGAAAGAAACAGCACAAACTGTACATACATGGATCAGGCAATACAGCAGTGAACTAGGACTAGGAGTCACACACTGTACGCACGGCAACAGTTTTCACACAACAGGCACTATAATTACACTGGGGAGTTTGAGGGGAAGCGAGAAATGCAGCGCTGGTGGGAGTAGGTACCAAAAAAACCCCACACAGAACCAATTTCCAGGAGACAAGTAGCATGACTACAAAGCTACTTTCACGTGATCTTGGGAACAGTCTTAGTGGGTTGGGTGAGAACCGTGACACTTTCATTTCTTTTCGGGAGACAAACAATCAGATCTTGTACAGTTGTGGTGCTAGGTGATATCTAACCCAGCATGCATATAACTGGCACTCTGGACTTGTACGGCCATTAACGCCCTGGAAGTGGGGCGAATGCTGCTGGATGCATCCATGTACAAATAGTACTGTGACATGCATGTAATCGGGACTGGTCCAGGGTACCAGCTTTATACTTTGGGTCGAAAGTCAACTAGTGCAACTGGATATGGATGGGCAAGGTCAGCTGATCCGTCTCAGCTCAGAGGCAGATCTAGAAACATCTTGTACAGTCACATGCTGTACATCGCAAAGCAAGCTGCTACTGATATACCCTGACATATTGCACTAGGGCACTTGGGAGTACCTTATAGTTTCCGCAGTATTAGCCACACTGGAGTATAAGCCGGACGAAGATATGTTGCCCCGGAATACAGACATCTACCCTGAATTTCATGCTTCACTTGACCACAAGCTGCACCAAATTGTTTCAGGTGGATTACGAGTGTTTCCTATACCCCGGAACAAAACGGTATACTAGTACTTTGCTCTAGCCTTCGGAGAGAAACTAGATTGTGCAGGATCTGGCGCTAACAAAGATAAATTCCGAAAACTGGTATTCCAATCCTGAAGAGAGAATCATAGGGCACTGCGTACATGTATTCCGCTGACAAGTTTGTTCAAACTTTAAGCACTTCACATCAAGACCAGCAGTTACCGGCCTGTTCGGCACAAGGCTCAATCTGATGAAGAAGGTCGGCCGCAGAGTGAAGAGTTTGGACCTCGAATCAAACCACTAAAAATACTCACAATTGACAAGCTCTTCTTCTTCAGGCAGTTTGAAATCCTTGTGGAACTGCTCGGAGGCAACACGGAATTTTCCACTCTCCGTGTCTACGTACAGCACAAAGGAAAAAATTGAAGACCCGAGTTATCGAACAAAGCTGAATGAAGGAAACAGACTAGCTGAACTCTAGACAGCTACTTCGAAGTAGGTCGACCAAATGTGAAAAAGTCTCACTCCAGCCCAATCTGAGAAAGCTGCGTAGAGTCTAATGAATTAGGCAGACGAAGGTAAAAAGGGAAACAAAATCGACTGCCGTACAAGATGATGTGCAAACTAATAAACTTCCCATTCCAACGGAACCAAAAGGAACACCTTAGCAGCAGCAGCTGCATCAGTACAACCATGTGTCAAGCGCTTGCTTACCTTGACTGCTTGCAGCTGGGATGTCAGCACTTGCAAGCAGGCTTTCTACTTTCGACGCTGCAAAGCTAAACGCTTCATCTTGACTGTCAAACGTACCTGTGAGAAGAAGACACCCGAGAGCAGAGAGAGAGAGAGAGAGAGAGAGAGAGAGAGAGAGAGAGAGAGAGAGAGAGAGAGAGAGAGAGAGAGAGAGAGAGAGAGAGAGAGAGAGAGAGAGAGAGAGAGAGAGAGAGAGAGAGAGAGAGAGAGAGAGAGAGAGAGAGAGAGAGAGAGAGAGAGAGAGAGAGAGAGAGAGAGAGAGAGAGAGAGAGAGAGAGAGAGAGAGAGAGAGAGAGAGAGAGAGAGAGAGAGAGAGAGAGAGAGAGAGAGAGAGAGAGAGAGAGAGAGAGAGAGAGAGAGAGAGAGAGAGAGAGAGAGAGAGAGAGAGAGAGAGAGAGTACTACAGTTAAGTTTCAGTAAATAGCATGATAAGCAGGGGTCCTCAATAACAGTACAGAGTACTTTGTAAAGTACATGTACCATTGGCCAGCTAGATGCATGAGTAACAAGGAAATATCCGCATGTCAAAGTCAGCAGAGTGACATCCCATTAGCTCAATCAAAGACGCTGCATCCATTGCAGTAATTTGGGAAGAAGAAAAAATGCATTGCATTAGGGTATCAGAGCCTGGTTTCACTGTCCACATTACACAAGGCTCACAAACATATTATACAGGCACTGGCTAATAGTGAAGTCTTCAAAAGGGCATTATAGCAAGGGAAACACCCTAATGGTGAGCAAAATCCTTTTTCGGGCTATGGTTCAGGTTGATGTAGGTCAATGATTGACCCTATTCAACTTTTGGGTGCATGGTCCCTGTAAGGTCAGATTGTACAATACCAAAAAAGGCAGTACAGTACAAAACAGTGCAGGATGTGCCACTGAACACATACAGCAATGGCATGTCCAGGTTCAAGTAATGAGGTCCTAGGAGAGATACTACAGTCGTCCCTCTCTAATCCGGCACCTTTTGCTACGGCATTTTCTGCTGGATTAACGAAGGTACTGGATTAAGAAATCCTGCCCTCTGACCCGGCCGGGCCGGCCCTACCCAATTCCATGCATGTATCATACGTCAAAACGCAGGGTTTTCCGTGTCGACCCCAGTATTTGGTGCACGGCTTTATATTCTCAACTTTTCTCCAGGAATATACACAGTGATAAAGTAAAACAGAGAACATGTTCACATGTATACGTACTCTTGCACACACACGCACAGTCGATTCACGACTGCCGGATTATGAAATCAAACAACGTGCAGTTTGAGCGATTCGTTTCAAAAAGTCACTGCCGGAGGCGGAATTCAAGTGCCGGATTAAGATGTAGGAATTGAACGAAAAAAATCGGTTTCGTCAGAAAGTGCGCCGGTTGGCAAGGGTTCCGGATAAACAAGTGCCGGATTAGAGAGGGACGACTGTATAATATACCAACGGTACAAAGGTCAAAGGTCACAACACTCCACTCTACTCTGGGGACAAATGGCCATGTAGCCAAGGACAATTGCAACTTCAACGCCAGCCAGGTCACAAAATGCACTTCGTGAATTCTCTAAGTTCGCAGCTGTCGGAAAACCGGAAACTGTGGAAGTTTCTGCAGAGCCCGAGTGGGTAGACGGGGCTTCCAGTACAGTATTGTCGGGCGCCGAAGAACGGAGCACGAAAGAACGAAGAGGCTAGGATATCACCCAGCACAGCATACCGATGTATACGTGCACACACAATGACTCAACTGTGCATAGACTGTACTGTAGTTTATGCTGACCTTTCATACAAACTTCCAGTCAACTTGCCCATCATGCTGGCGGCTTATACTGGGCATATAAACCTCATACAAACCCCATACAAACCCCATATAGAACGCCACCATAGAAACAGGAAGAAGTTGACTGTCAGTTTGTATGAAGGTCAGGATAAGTATAATACAGTCGTCCCTCTCTAATCCAGCACTATATAAATCCAGCACCCTCGATAAACCAGCACAATTTTCAGCAACCAAAATGTCCTTTTCATGCACATTCTAGCGGTAAATCAGATTTGTTAATCCAGCACCCTCCCTAATCCAGCAGATTTCCGTGGCACAAATGGTGCCGGATTATAGAGGGACCACTGTACATCCCACTAGTACGCTTGTACGTGAAATATAAACCATCATACAAACCTCGGCTTCGCCTCGGTTTGTATGTCGGTTTATATTTCACGTACAAGCGTACGGTTGGGTTGTATTATATACATATGAAAATAAGAACGGCCTGGGTTACGAGGCTGACCCGCCAGTTCTTCAGCACACGACAGACACAGTACTGCACGCGTAGATACTGACAACACAGGGAAGCAGCCAGGATAGGTGCCAGCCAATCAGTGAGCAGGTATGGTCTACAGCGTGCTAGCTGGGTAGAGTTTGACTGTGTAGATGCTCGCATTCAAAAATCAACCCATGCTTGTTGAATTTAACCGATAATTTAGTTGGGTTAGTATTCACTATAGGCTACTTGGCTGCAACACATTGACTTACCAAGCATAGGCAGCACTTCCAGCTTCAAGTACTCCCAGTGACGCATAGCTTCAGACTGACTGTTTGCAGTCCCAATTACTGCAATCAACACACAGTTAGGCAGCAGCAACATGGCCAGCGATTGAGAGCATCCTGCCACCACGTGTATGCATGGTTGTAGCTAAAGCGACATAGCATGAAGCTGCACCTCATCAAGAGACTACCACCACCTTTTAAAATTGAACCCTCGTAAATGCACACTGCATTTGAGCTGATAAAACCAGCTGCTTTATTCCTACCGAAAACCTTGCCACTGCATGTAGCCACCGCAGTGCAGCCCTATCTACACTGCTGCTCAATGAAATCCGATTGTGCGAGTCAAGTTTGCGCCATGCATCAGTCCGCAGTGTTTGCAGGCCTAGGACTGCACAGTGGTCGGCGTGGCATTGACTGACTGACTTGATCGGCTTTCATTGAGCAGTAGTGCACTTGGTCAGTGCACTACAATCATGCAGGTAGGTAAATACTGGAAACAGGCCTGCACTGGTACGCAGTACTCAATGTTTGTGGCAATGCACATCAAGGTGTCCGAGCTGACCAAGTCATTCACTGCCAGACTGGCAACAGCCCTGATGCTCAATACGGGTGTATGCCCATTTTTTACTTAGCAAATAGCAGCTGAACACCCCGCCCCCAACACACACACACACACACACACACACACACACACACACATCTGTGGCTGCAGATCTTTGCAATAGGCCTCCAGCTGCTCAACACAATGCTCACTAGCTACAAAACGTCCTTCTCCTTTGTAGGCCCTTGTAGTTCAGGTTCTTGAGAAGAATCTCAGAAGACAGATGCACTCACTGAGATCTCCCTACAGAGGTGCTGCATAGCATACTGTAAGATGGGTAAATATGACGAGAATGTAAATCGAACGCTTTAAAAACGAGTGGCATTTCTTTGTTATAAAAGTTCTGTTGAGGCTGTAATGCCTCATTATGTCAGTACGCGTTCTGTGCGGATATGAATGAAGACTGCAAGAGCGCTAGCGTGCTAGTATCTTCTCGTTAGCCTATGGATTTCGGTCCCATTTCCGGACAATCGTTAAATTTGCGATTCGTTATAATAACATGTCTTACAGTACTGAAACCTAGGGTAGGCACAGAGATGTGCACAGAGGTACTGCACACACAGAGATGTGCACAGAGCTACTGCACACACAGAGATGTGCACAGAGGTACTGCACACACAGAGATGTGCACAGAGGTACTGCACACACAGAGATGTGCACAGAGGTACTGCACACACAGAGATGTGCAGCCATGCAAGAACTTACAGTAGGATAGCTCGCCATGGTGTGTTTGAAGAAGAATCCGATATGGTGGTGGCTATCCAGGAAAGCAAACAGCAGAGATATGTGTGAGGGAGACGTTCTATCTCTTCCACTAGCCAAGCCATATACATATAAACTAACTTGTAGCTAACCTTACACAGTTACAGGACTACTCAAGTGCAGACAACAAATACACACTTGATTCACTGGCATTCACACAGCGCATGCATGCATGCGTGTGTGTGTGCGTGTGTGTGTGTGTGTGTGTGTGTGTGTGTGTGTGTGTGTGTGTGTGTGTGTGTGTGTGTGTGTGTGTGTGTGTGTGTGTGTGTGTGTGTGCATGCGTGCGTGCGTGCATGTGTGTAGATGCTGGGCAATACAAGCATAATGCCTTCTATAATGTTGACGTACTGCCAGCACAATCAGTCCGGATTCAACTAGATTGAAGATCAATATAAATTCTAGATTGGAAAAGGAAAGAGAGCACATGCTGAAAAAAGAGGAAGAGGCATGCAAGTGCACGTGGACACACACACACACACACGCACAATCATTCACACACAACCACACACACACACACACACACACACACACACACACACACACACACACACACACACACACACACACACGTGTGTACGCATGCGCACACATGCACGTCCTACTTTTGACTCTCGAACATTGTCCAGGGTGGCGACCATCATGGAACGGAGTCCTCCTTCTCCGCCACGTCCCCTTCTCTTTTGCAGGACGAAGTAAGTATTGTGGTCCTCCGTGGTCCTGATGAGAAAGTACGCCAACCATAATACCATTAAAAGGAAGGACAAAAATGTTACGAGTTATGACTACCTGTCCCCAAATGTAACCGGATTACTATACAGTCAGCTAGTGCGACAACATGGCACACAACTGACAAACAGTACTGAGACATTCAACGACCTGACACCTTTTGTCTATGATTACATTGGCTCAACACCCGAGTTCAATAATGCCATTATAAATATAATACCATTATAATTTATAATAGTCATTTAGTAACTTCTAGTCTTTGACCCTGAGTTGAGAAGCACGAATTTCTTGACCAGCTTACCACACGAATCCGGCTACCAGCACCTCCTGTGGCTTAACCCACATCCTTCCTCAAGATCTCGTAACTAATTATGATGTCTACTATACTGATTGAGACTCGTACAGACTACCCAATGCACTGTGCTCTAAAAATCAGGCAGCAGGGAGATCGCCAAAAGCTGACTCCTTCTTCTCACGTTTCATTCGACTCTTGACAATCGGACGACACTAAAGCTGGCATCAGGTCCACACTAACTGAATAAACGACTTACGGAGCAACATGAGATACTTCAATATCAATGGTCATTGTCAATGTTCGACATAAGACAAAAAATTATTGGGAGGAAAATTAATGTTATTCAAAGTACATACGGGAATCCCACAACCCTGCAAACCCGGGTTCCGAAGTAAGTTATCGTGTTCGCGCTGGGTTTTGCTGGATTTCATGCTGAAATGCTGTCAGAAATCTCAGAATCAACGTTTTGCCATGACTCCATGATTATGAGTCATGAGTCATGACGTGACATGAAGCTTTGATGACGTCTCTTCCATGCACTAGCAATAATAATTATTAATTTATTCATTTTCGTCATAAAAATGAGATTGATTTCGAAAAAACTGGTGCATACCTTTTGAGTCTCTGCAACATTTGTAGTTCGTTCTTGTCAGTTGTAGTCTTTTATATCTACTTTCCTCCGTTGTCCATAATGCCGAAGGCTCCTAACCCAAAGCCTTCAGAAAAGGCCAAGGAGGCTACGTCAGGTAAGAAGAAGAATATCCGATTCAAGAAAAGTATCAAGAAATTGCCGAATCCCAAGCCCAAAGAAAGGCTGCATATACCAGTAGCTCCTAAAACTCCTGAAGAATTTTCACCTAACTGGAAAGCTTTGCAAAAGGTGAGTTTCTTTGGTGTACTGTTCAGTGCTGGTACGTGTATGTGCAAGAGAAGAAACATTGAAAATTATTCTAATACTTCCTCCGGAAACAAAAAACTTCGTGACTTTTTCACATGAGTTGCTGTGCTCAACGAAAGTGTTCTATTGGAAGAGAAACAAGATCGATTGATGGGAATAGAGTCTCAGTCTGAGTTGCCCTCGCTCGATACATCACCACTGGAACTAACCAAAGTGGCAGGTCGAATGATGCGTTCTCGCATGTCCCGAAGCAGCTTCTCCGCACCCCGGTCGCCTTCGCGCGAGTTACAGCAGTACCTTCTCTAGCAGTGGAGATCACTGTGGTGCTGGTACTTATTATCGCCTCCGCTCTTGAAGATGCCCCGGAACAACGCATGCAGGCAAAGCCAAACATTTTGCATTTTCTCCGTGGGGTAGTCGTCCCAGGGCTTCGCGACTGCTGCGAGAAGATCTCGCCTGTTCTCCTTTGCGACCAAGGAGATATCAGACTGGAGGCTGCTGAGAAAGGCAAGATCATCCACGTTGAGGTCTGGGCTCTCGCGCACACGTGTGTGTGTGTGCGTGTCAGCACTTACATATGTGCACATGCGCATACAAACATACCGGTGCCTGCTTATATGCATCTCATGACACAGTCACACACCGGCGGCGAAATACAGGTGCGCAACTTATCAAAATACCGCAATAATATTATAACTGTTTAATATGGCTAAACTCACAGATATGTCAAAAGCATGGAAAAGCCATTGCACGCCAACGAAGAGCAACTCATCACCTACATCATCAAGTGTTGGACGCGGTGAGTAAATGAAATAAGTAAAGGAGACCGCGCTAATGATGAGAAAAGGTGGTGAGTTCATCGCACTGAGTAAAGCCATCTGCACACTCACGTGGCACGTGGTCATTCTTGCGAGTTTGCATTAGGCTTTATTCACTGCATTGAAGTAAATATGTTATTGTGAAAATACCCAGCCCTGCGGTGGAATTCTTCTTGTATTCCATGTGTCACAGATTTTAGCGATGGACAAGAAGCCTAGTGCAGTCTCATCTGGCTCCGCGAAGAAGCGCACCTTCAAGCCGCGAAAGAAGGATTCCCCAACCAAAGGCACTGGATCATCAGCAAAGTGGTGAGCTAGCATCTGCTTTGATGCATGACAACACTGGCGTTTGGATTCACGTGGATCCAAACACGTCTGAAGTGGTTTCTTTCACGATAGGATGCTATATCCGCCTGTAGTGACTTGACTAGACCCTGGGTTGGACGCGAGACTGCTTGTCCAGAGAACATTACACCAGCGCCCAGCATGAGGAGTGTTTCACTATGTGCCAAAGCTGTGCAAAAGTGGATCTGACTTTTCCCAATTCTTCAACTTCCCAGCCGTGCTTGACAGCATCAGGGTCAAGCCTTGTTGTGTCATTGTACGTGCTTTAACTTTGGTCATGGTTTGTCTGCGTTTGCAATGTATGCTGGCTAGCGTCCGTCATTCTTCATTGGTGTGGGTACTGCGGTAACCTGTGCAAACTACCCGCTGATCCCACCTGTAGAATCTGCCGGGCTATGTGACAGTGGCCATGCCTGTGGTCCCTGGTGACACATTGGGCGCTTTCGATTACACGTTTACACAATTCTGGAACTGGTTTTTTTAGTTCTGGAATGACCAGAATGAGCGTATTCCGGCCTTGTAAACGAACGACTGGAATTCACAACGCATTCTATTCACGTCATGTCACAAACAAAATTGATGAATCGTAAAAAGAGATCACGTACACCCTCGCGCGCACGTGGACCCAGCATCGCGCACACGCCGGCCAGGGAGGCTCTTCGCGCGCTTGAGTCATGACCAGACCGGTAACACACCGACTGTGTAATTCTGGCGCCAGAATTAGAGAAATTCCGCCCTCTCTTCAGAATTGACGGATTCGACGGAATTGGATAAAATCAATTCTGACGACGGAATTTGTCACTTTTTGTGTAATCGAACTGTGCATCATCAATAACCAGGGATGAATTTATCCTGTATCGCATCGCAGTTTGCTACGCAAAATCGATCTACTGCTACTCAAATCACAGTGACACGCAGAAAGCTGCGATACATGCATGTACAGGCGATCCATGCTTTCTGTAGCTTGCGCCACAAATTAGATTTTGCATAGCAAAAACTGCTATGCAAAAACGTGACAGTAAATTCATCCCTGATAACTAATTCTAGAATTGACCGAAATGCGTGTAATCGAAAGCGCCCAATAGTGCACTGTGCATCCACTGTCTGGATTTTGAAACTACGGTGTGGGAGTCCAGATTTGGTTAAAGTACCGTCTTGGACATGGAAATCCAGTCGATTGACCTGGGCCGGTGCCCTCACTGAGCCTCAGCGCGTACAGAACAGTGCACAATCATGCGTGCGACCAGCGAGCTGCAGCGCGTATGTGTGTACTGCTTACCCACGGCTGCATGGCCAGCGCCCTGGGGCGCTAGACGTGCGACCGGATTTCCATGTCCACGACAGTACCTTATCTGCAGGTCTGTACGTAAACTCTGTATACATGTAGATCAGTTTGAATTCGGGGATGGTATTTCGAATGCATGCAGATGCTTGACTTTGATTGTGATGCGTCTACTTCATTGGTCCCGTTAGGAAAAAGACTACGCCTCCTGCACCTGCGCCACCGCCTCCACCGGAGGTTTGGTTTGATGATGTCGACCCGGAGCTGATTGCCCGCTCTCAGAACAAAACTCCTAGCTGTAGCAGCAAGTCTGCCGGCGCCACGGCTGGAGGTAACGAGCGTGATTCCAGTGACTTGTCATCATCGCTTATCACCGGACCTGACAAAGAGTAAGTGATCACATGTATTGCTGTTCTACCAGTACAATGGAGATTATATAGAACAACACACCTGGAGATTTAGAACAAATTGTCCCTGTATTTAATCTGTCCCTAAACCCGATGTTCGGAAAGGTCTTTCTGCAAAACTTGGGCAACAGAAATCAGTTGTCTCAATCTACTGTTGCTGCCGGTATACTGATATGCAAGGTCGTATTGTCCAATCTCCACTGGAATACGAATGTAAAAGTAGCCCCAATCTTTATGAGTGATCTGTAAACGTTTGCTTTGGAGTTAAAGGGGCACTCCGGGAATTTTTTCGTTGGTGTGGTCTCTTCATGGGGGCCTTATATGAGGTGCCCCTGGTAGAAGCGCAGCCTGATGAGGGCCGGGAAATTGGAGCGGACGACTTCACTGGTCGACAAGGAAATAGCGATTGGTGTTCCTGCCAGAAATGTGGGGTGATGCAGAGGGCAGTCGATTACCCTCGCTGTCGAGAGAGCGCTGCAGCTGTTAGCATTGACAGCCCTTTGACATGCGTTACACATCACCCCGACTTCGCGTCAGCTTGTCTAAACAAAACTGTTCTGACCATATGCCTCACGGCGTATAGAGAATTTCGGGATCTTCGTACTCGAACCAGTGAAGTCGTCCGCTCCTGGCCCTCATCAGGCTGCGCTTCTACCAGGCTCAGGGGGTCCTTCAGGTTCCTTAGAGTATGTCCGCAGTTGTGAAGCTTGGGAATGTCGACCAAACATCGTTCTTCATCACCAGAAAATTCAAACAACTAAGATCTTCAAATGCAGAGAATTTGAATACTAATCACACGTGACGTCATCAAAACCATCAAAAGAGGAGACAAACTTGGCCCTCCCTGGCTTCATATATCGACTTTTTGGGTCTAGTTTTCGCGATTCCCCATTCTTTGGGGGCCATATAAGGCCCCCATGAAGAGAACACACCACCGAAAAAATTCCCGGAGTGCCCCTTTAACAAACAGCTCAAAAGCACCGATCTTGTTACACTCGGTTGCTCCAGGCATTCTTCTTTAGGAACTGTTTCTGATACCTTCCCCTGTCCATCTCTCTCTCTCTCTCGCTCTCTCGCTCTTCTTTCTCCATGGCCTACGATTCCTTCTGCAGGGCTAGAAAATACATTGCTATTGACTGTGAGTTTGTCGGTGTTGGCCCCAATGGGAGTAAGAACGCCCTGGCGCGCTGCTCTATCGTCAACCATCATGGTCATGTGCTATATGATACGTTTGTTCAGCCGTTAGAGGACGTGACTGACTTCCGAACTCGTGTCAGCGGTGTACGGCCTAGAGATTTGAAAGATGGTATGTACTTCCATGTGCTATCGAGTCGATTTCGCCCATAACCAAACAGCCACATTGTACATGATTGTGTTTGTTTGCGGAAACTTTAACGAAATGCTACTACATGTACTAAATATTCATTGGTTTGAGGGAAGGATGCAAACGGGAAAAGTCTGAAGAAAAAATTGACTGTCACCACCAGGACTCGAACGTGTACTAAAGTTTCCCGTTTCCAACTCCCTCAACCTTATGGATATTTTATTGTGTTGGGGCTCCATGTGTGCTAGTTTGTACGTGAAGTGTGTGGGTTCCAGTGACCACGGGTGTTTGCAGTGCATGAACTCTGGCCAGTCGTCCCCGTACGCAAAATGCGTACGCATTTGGATCTACCGTACATTTCCTCGTGTTTTGGGCGAATCTGAGCGGTACGACGCTGTCGAATTGGGCCTGAATTTGCCCTGAACCAGCCGCTATCGAAGTAAAATTAGGTGTTTTGAAGGCCACACAGGAACACTGTGGCCATGTCTTCGTTCCTGCGTCGTTTGTTTGAAAATTGGAGTGTTTTTGAGCTCGTAGTTCGTCTTCGTTGTGGAATGGCCGTGCGTACATTCTCCTTGGAATTACCAAAGTCACACCCCCGTTTATTACATTACTAGGAGTTTTGCCGGCAGCCACGATAGTTTTTATCCCTGCTTCCATACGTCCTTTCATTGAACAGCCAAACGAAACTTTGTGGCGCGCCTTAGTTTTTTGTGGCGCGGGGGTCTCAAGTTTGTCACTTCGAGTTGTACACAACGATCACATCAACACCTCAAACTGGACCAAAAAAACCAAGTGAGCAAGTATTTCAACCTTGCGATTCTGCCTGGCCTACTCTGAAGATGGAGACTTCTACTCGGTAGCACATACTCGTATCAATAAGCTGGGAGGGAGAGCGTGGCGAGTAAAATGTTGGGATGAAAAGAGCCACATTCTCTCTCGGAAAAGGTCGTCGTTCGTTCCTACACTGGCTACACACTTGCTCTACCCAGCTCTGCAGAAGGCTAGATTTTGCATGCACGTGCGAGATTCGCATCCGCCACGCACATAGGCAGAGTCGACATTTTTGTACTCTCGGATTTGCCGCCATCTTGACGAGTGGCCACTGCGAAACACCCGTGGTGACGGCTGTGTCCCACCAACCTGTGTGGATTCACAGGAAGCGTGAGTTTCGAAGCCTGAAGAAAATGTTGAACGGTCGCTACTTGGATGAAGACTACACCATAGCTTAGTGGTAGAGCATCACTGGCCATAAACAAGGGTCCTTGGTTCAAGTCCTGTTGATTGATGACAGTCAGTTTTTTCTTCAGGCGTTTCCTGTTTTCAACTCCCTCGACCTTATGAATACCAATAAAATCATTGAACATATTTGTACTTGTGGATCAGCATTCATTGTGGTGGAATTTGTTCCACACCCGGTGACTATATTTCTGCCCGTATTGGCCATAATTAGTGTTGCTTAGATCAAGCTGTCTGTTTCAACGTAGCTGTACATCGAGCTTTGTATGTGTTCCATTTGATGCTATTTGTTTGTAAGTGTTACTCGTTAGTCAGTAACATTGCATGTGGCTGTCTTTCTAACTGCAGCACCATCGCAGTCAACAGTACTGAGTGAAGTGGACAAGCTCATGAAGGGACGCGTACTCGTTGGGCATGCGATAAAGAACGATTTGAAGGTACGCGCCTCGTGTGCATGCAGATGATTGCCTTGATCTACTCACGTCTTTGCCTTGATCTACTCACGTCTTTGTCCTGATTATGCGTAGGTTGGGATATGCTATATGCCTGTAGGATTTCCCTGATTGGGTTCCTTGTGTGTGTTTGTGTGTGCGTGCGTGCGTGCATGTTGGTGTGCATGTGTGTGGGTGCGTGCGTGCATGCATGCGTGTGTGGGTTGTTTGGCTGTATGTATTCATGTGTGTTTATGTTGCAGGCTCTGTACCTATCCCATCCTCAGCGAATGATACGGGACACACAGTGCTTCGATAGGTACAAGAAACTTGTCAAGGTATGCAGATCCTTTCCACCTTTTCAGCACTCCTTGTGCACTTGTGCATGGACGAACACACACACCATTGGACCATTGGACGCCCATCGCCTGAGGCGATGATAGCGATGCTACAGCAGAAGCCATAGCAGCTTGTGCTGGGATTGCACCATTCAACAGCTTGCAAGGCTGAAGAATTGACCGCCACTATTCAGCCTGGTCTACACCACACAGCTATGAAGTGGCTTTTTCTGGCCAGTGAATCCCTACTTTTTGGTCTTTTTTATTTTTTTCTCCCACACACACATCACACCACATACTCCAGCATGCACTGGCTGTTGGTAATCACCCAGGAGAATGAAAGAAAAGTCAGGAAGAGTCTGAGAAAGAGAAGAAAGACGTGTGTGACCATAATCGTCGGGAATCGAACCCGCAACCTATCGATTGGAAATCGCTGCAAACACACACACACATACACACACACACACACGGTTCTCTCTCTCTCTCTCTCTCTCTCTCTCTCTCTCTCTCTCTCTCTCTCTCTCTCTCTCTCTCTCTCTCTCTCACTCATAAGAAAGGTACGGTCCTGTGGAAGTAATGCGGCTTCGCTTTTGCCTGGCTTGTGGACAACTAACGATGTGGTAACCACGTTTGTGTTTTGTGCTCATCTTGTTTCAGGGTGGTAAGCCAGGCTTGAAAAGGCTATGTCGCCTTGTTCTCAACATTGACATCCAATCAGGGGAGCACAGCTCGGTTAGTAGCATACTATTAACATGTGTGGGAGCTGTGGTGGAGCATTGTACGGTTTCTGTCCCTGCCGTGGCCCCACGCTGCCTCGGCAAATACCGACATGGCTGTGATTCCTCTGTGTGGCATACAGGATTACCCTCGTATCAGCAATCTCATTCATGCTGCTTTTATACATAGTGAATACTAAATACGGTACCAACACGTCCATTCACCAGTGTCGGCCACAATGCTTGTAAACGTGTTATATACTTGACTTGACTGGTCACCACACTGGTCGTACCTATAGTAGTATTATAGCTTTTCAAAAACTGCCGTAGTCTTTGCTGTTTGTGTATCTTTGCCACATGCAGTGTTCTATCCTGTTTCTTTGTTATGCCTGCTTTTAAATGGAGGATGCATGTGTTAGTGTATCTTTGCCACATGCAGTGTTCTATCCTGTTTCTTTGCTATGCCTGCTTTTAGGTGGAGGATGCATGCGTTAGTGTATCTTTGCCACATGCAGTGTTCTATCCTGTTTCTTTGCTATGCCTGCTTTTAGGTGGAGGATGCATGCGTTAGTGTATCTTTGCCACATGCAGTGTTCTATCCTGTTTCTTTGCTATGCCTGCTTTTAGGTGGAGGATGCATGCGTTAGTGTATCTTTGCCACATGCAGTGTTCTATCCTGTTTCTTTGCTATGCCTGCTTTTAGGTGGAGGATGCACAGGCAACCATGAAGTTGTACAGACTCCACCGACAAGAGTTTGAAAAGGATTTGAAAACGTCGGGAAGATGCCGAGGCCCAGTCAAGCAGAGGAAGAACGCAAAGGGACCAAGGAGGGAGAAACGTGGAGAGGCCGCAGAGCCTATGTCGTGTGATGGCAGTGGCAACAGCGGCGGCGAATCTGATGGTGGAGACAGTGGCAGCTGGTTGAGATGATGTGCTCCCGCAAACCAGCTGCATTCACACCAGCTCACTATGGAATAGAGCTGTGCACTCTGCCAATAGCATTTGTGATCACTGAAACAAGATGGAGTAGGCAAGACAAGGCCACGGGCCTAGGAGTATCCAGCACAGGCATCATCAGAGATACATGCACCGAGTCAGCACGTTGTTGTTTGTTTGTTTGTTTATTTAGATTTCGGAAGATTAAACCTGTCCACACCCTATGGTTATTACTTCAAAGTATTATCTTATTATTTTAACATACGAAGGTACCCATGGCCCAAACCATTTTGCAGGTGGTACCGGTATGGACTGTGGAAGCACAACATGAAACGTTATGCTTGATGTGGTATACTACTGTAATGTCATGCACTGGTCAACTAATTACTAAACTGGTTCCAGGCTGACAACTAGGGATCCAAGTAAAAGCCACTCTATAGAGAGCCCATGCATGCATGCAGTATGCTACGACACCCTGGTTGACACCTTTACTATTACCGGTATATCACTAAAAATGAATAATTGACACAATACCTAGCGCCTCCTGCTGGCCTGGTCTGTGTGTACTGTATACGCGTGCAGACAGACCTGCAAACTGCATAATGGCTGTACATGCATGTACATGATTGTGCAGTCACAACAATGGCACATGAATGGTGACATGGCTCCCGGTCAGCAACACTAAACAGTGTGCATTCCCTCCACCTTGCTGCCTAAGCTTCGTGATATCCCCGTACTGCTTGTACGTGAAGAAACCATCTTGGTCAGGTCAGACATCACGCACCCTTTCCACACAATCATAGATATTGACACACTTCGGCGACGGAGAGATTCACTGATAAAACGGAAAATACTGCAACAGAGACCCTGTGTAGTTGCACGGACTGCCAAACACTCAATAGACTGTAACAGAGTAAAAATCGTAGAAAGGATGATGCGGACAACTGGAGAGCGACTGAACGCACAAACACAAAAAATGGTACACTGAGTATTGTGATGATAAGAATAATAATAAAAGCACACCGGCTGAAACCAGTCAAACACTACCAAGCCAGCCAACAAAACACGGATGAGTAAGAAATGGGATGCGCTAACCGTTAGATAGGGGATAAAAACAAAATGTGATATGCATAGTACTCGTACTAGTACACCGAGAGACATATGACAGCGACGCAAATACTCAGCACTGGAGCACTCGCAATAGTATTAAAAAAATTTGTCTTGGAAACCCAGCATGGGTCAGCCATTGTTCATATGATCAGGGGCACAGACAGATGCCACGCTCAGCAAAATGCAAACAAACGCATGTGTTTACAGGCAGTTGCGATAAGAAAACAGCTGAAGGGTGGTATAATCCTGAGAATGCGATAAAAAAGGAGCTATGTTGGAGACGGTGGGTTTCAAGGCCAGTACATCGATAGCATCAGTCATCTCGCTGGCTGGAAATCAACGGGCTGATGCTGCTGATGCTGACAGTGTTAGTGGTTATAGTGATGCTGCTGATGCTGACAGCGTTAGTGGTTATAGTGATGGTGCTGATGAGTGTACGTCATGATATCAAGTCATATTATACTCAAGTAGGGATGCAAGCGAGCCAGCAGGCACAAGCACAAGTGCATTGCATCGTAAAGTTCACACTGGTGGTACAGACACGCAAAGCGGCACACGGTGGTACGTGAAAACAGCAGCAGCAACAGCACACAGCATTGCTGTCAAGAGCACGGGAACAACAGCGACGTGGCAGTCAATCTTGCACACATGACACATACATATACACACACACAAATGCACACTCACGTGCACGATGCATCCATTGGTGACCAGATTACTATCCAAGCTGGAGATACGTACGTCACAACCAGTGGGCAGTAGTACCTTTGATGAAAAGGTGCCAAGGAGGCAGCATGACCATGTATGGCGTAACAGTAATCACACGCAGCGGGCAGTAAGCACAGCATACTCGGAGTGTTGATCCCGCTACAGTGAAGATAGGTGAGCTGGTGATCGTACAGCAAGACGGAGAAATAAGCCAGACGGGTATTTTTTCGATATGATTGGCTGACGATGGCACAATCAGTTTGTTCAAACTTTCCTTCTTTCCATCACGTGTATTCAAACCCAGCCATGGCCCTTGAAGAACATAATCAGTGCCACTTTCTGCTGTGACGAGAGCTGTGGCAGGTGTTTTAGCTTGGCCTTGACACCAAACTTACGTACAGTTTGATCCTGCACAACAACGCACATGAACAGGAAAAAATAAGACCAGCGATATCAAATCTGCATGGCAGCCGGCAATACTAACCTATCACATAGATCGCCTGCTACAGTTGAACATCGATTATCCGACCACCTCTGGGCAGACAACTGTCAGGCGGTGTTCAGATGAGGCAAATGTTCCGGATAAGAAACATGTACATACCACATGTACGACCTTTTTACTTTTCAAAATTTTCGTATTTTTTGAATGGCTCACTACATGCACAGTGCGTACTCTACGGCACGTGCGCCCAAAAAAACTGTTACGGATAATCGAATGGTCGGATAGTCGATGTGTGGATAATCGATGTTCAACTGTACTAGTATTCCAAAATAGGAGTGAAACTTGTGTAACTCAAACGGTGAAATGTTGTGTGTGTGAATAGGAGTGAAACTTGTGTACCGTAACTTCATGACAATAAAATGAGACATAATTGCGAGAAAAAAAAGAAAAAAGAAATCCGTCCCCGGGTGGGCTTGAACCACCAACCTTTCGGTTAACAGCCGAACGCGCTAACCGATTGCGCCACGGAGACAGACTGAAAACACAGTCCCAATAAGTCATTTAAAAGTACCAACTATTTAAAATTCAAGGTCAACAACCGATCACGTTGAGCCAAGGCTGAGCGCACTTTTGTCCAGCTCTCTACCTCTGCCTTCCATAAAGTAGAGAAGTGAGGAGAGGATAACCTGGGCGACAGCTACTCAGCCACACACACAATTCATATTTCACCCCCTCCCCTCCCAAAACAATTTGGCAAATGGAGTCGAATGATGTTTACACTGACCATGGCAAGAAGGAAAAAGAAAAGATATTATGAATGGGAATCCTGGTGGTGACAGTCAATTTTTTCTTCAGACCTTTTCCCGTTTGTATCTTTCCCTCAAACCAGTGAATAGGTAATAGACTTACGCGCACAATAATGGTTTTGACCGTAATGTACTCCGGTGGGGACAGGCCAAGTCCGGAGCAAAGCTGTGCACGTTACACACAACAGCCAAGACAAAGGATACGAAGTTTCAACGCAGCACGAAAGACAGGACACATGCACAGGCATGAGCCAATCAGCAGCTTTGGTGTTACCGTTGTGGACATGGAAATCCAGTCGGAGGTCAAGCAACCTCATGGCACTGGCCAAGCAGCCGTGAGTACGCATGCGATCAACATGCGCACTGTACATGCAGCGTTCTGTACGCACTGAGGGCGCCGGCCCCGGTCAATCGACCGGATTTCCATGTCCACTACAGTATATGACCAGCACGTATGCATCCACCTAGTAGTCACACACTACAACCGGATCTTTGATACGACACACACATGCAAAGCATAACACGGTCCACATGCATGTCTCAAGTCACGGCTCGCCGCTCTGTACCTTTTGTTCATTGGATGTCAGGTAAGAGGCAGCTCGCGAGAGTTTGCTTTCGTTGTCGGGTTTTCCACGCTTCAGATGGGCGGTTTCTGCAGACGGGAGCAAGGGATAAAAGTGATGGAAGAAACTGGGATGAGGAGTGTACAGGACCAACGGAAAAGGAAACAGGACACCATATGACAAAGTGAGAAGAGCTACAATTTTTAGAAGTGCTACCCTGTACTAGGCGATACACCTCTTTAGTTCCTTCAAAATTTATTTGACTTCTTGGCTTTGCTATGACCCGGAGGCGATCTGAGAAATCCAATTTCTTTGCACAGGTACTCTGGGAATGGGCATAGATTGATTCCTTTCAAGTTCTTTCCAGCCAGGTTCATAATCAATCTGGGTCTAACATGACCCAAAGTGCGGTGTAGCAGGTTCAAAACCCAAGTGTTCAGGCGTATGGATAAAAACAACAAACACATGGCTTACTTGTTAGATGTATAACAGCACGAAGTTTCCTATGGGCAAAGGGCACACGGCAAGAAACAGAACAAACGGAAGAGGATGACTCTTAGGAATGGAGCTAGGTCTGTAACGTACACAAGGCACATCCGATCCATGCATTCCGACACTCAGTTGCCATACCTTGGAATAATCAAACAGTCAGTCATCGGACCGACCAATTTCATCCGCTGGTGACTATACTACCGGGTGGCCCACAGTGTGTACGTGCAATGGTGATAAGCAACTGCTCTACACGGGAGCCCTGCACTGTAACTGGCCCTTTCTTACTACTCCCAGCCCCGTGACATCTCCACAATCAGACGATTGGCAACAGGATCACATTTTACAGAGAGTCGACGGAAGCACAACTGGACATGACGAACTCAAGACGAAGACTGCTTTCCACACAACAGCAATACGTGCAAGCACCAACACCGCACGCACACAACATAACGTTCTACAACATAAACAATTGCTCCACATGACACCTCTCACTTACTTTGAGGTTTGCGGCTTGGCGGGTGTATGTGCTGCAGTAGCCTGCTGGAAGACAAACCAACACACACACAGGTCAGACACAGTCATAGAAAAAGTACTTCAGCGCGGGTAGAGACTAGAGACAGGATAAGCAGAGCACTGAAACAAGACCAATTCTGGAGGAGGTACAAATTACAATGCAATGGCCGGTCAACACATGCTAAAATAGACACAAGCACGTTGGCAGCGAGTGAGTGAGAGAGTGTGTGTGTGTGTGTGTGTGTGTGAGAGAGAGAGAGAGAGAGAGAGAGAGAGAGAGAGAGAGAGAGAGAGAGAGAGAGAGAGAGAGAGAGAGATAGAGAAAGAGAGAGAGAGAGAGAGAGAGAGAGAGAGAGAGAGAGAGAGAGAGAGAGAGAGAGAGAGAGAGAGAGAGAGAGAGAGAGAGAGAGAGAGAGAGAGAGAGGGAGAGAGAGAGAGAGAGAGAGATAGAGAATACACATGTTCACACACAGCAAAACTTGTGAATCAGTTCAAGATTATACTTCCAGCTAATACTCTACCCTTGTTAGAACATATCATGTGCTTTTCAGCACAAAGCATGCGCATGAGCACGCATACACGCGCACATCCGCACGAACACACACACACACACACACACACACATTCAAGCACACAAATACAAACATCAGGGGAATGTCACACACTCGTGTAACGCAGAAAGCTGGCAGAATGCGAAAAAGGCACAACTAACCAAGGATGAAGAAGATGTGTCCGTGACAGACTTGCCATCTGCAGTAGTGGAATTGGCAGCAGCAGTAGTGGCGGTCGTCCCGCTAGCTTTTGTTCCTTTGCCGACCTCTCTCTGCAAAGACATCTCCTCATACTGAGCACAACCTGGAAATATGTGCACGTGCAACAAACACAGACACAGGCGCACACGGAGACACACATAATAGCAATGGTGACAAACAAGCTATGTTAGGCAGTGCAACATGTGCTGGGATAACATCATTCAACAGCCTGCAAGCTTGAGAATAGAACCGCCACTAGCCTCGTATTGCACCACACATCTGATTGAAGTGACTTCTCCCGCTAGTGAATCAGCCCCCCCCCCCCCACACACACACAAGCGTGCATACAGACAAGCAGACATACTTATATACAGTCATGTATCTAGTAATAGTGGAAAGCCAGCGTCTCAATACAAACTCACTGGGCTGTGAAAGTGGATACGGATTATATACGTTGAAATAGCCTTTTTAAAAGCACTATAGAAAACTCAGCTGTAATGGCACAGGACTCACCGGTCAGACTTGTGATCCCCAAGCGACGATACCTCATGAGATCTTTGATCTGTGTCTGCAGTGCTCGCTCTTCTGCACAGGTTCGAAGGAAACACAGAAGAGATAAACAAACAGTTTCCTCTGAGACAAAAATGCGATAATACTCCTAAAAAGTAGGCTCTGATGTTAGTTCTGATAAGTATGAGTCGTCCATCGCTAGTCATGTCGAGAACGGTAGGGGAAGACAGACTCATCAGACTCATTCTCATACCACAGTTTCCTTTCTAAAAACTTCACCTTCAACCATAATCAAAACTTGCCAACCACCCCCGTATGTGTGTGCGTGCGTGCGTGCATCATGCAAGCGCGGATCATGCGGAATGCAATGATGCAACTACAAGAAAACAAATCTCGGCAGCTAGCAACGAGTGCATTCAGAGAAGAAGCAAACAAGTTCAGATTTAAGTAGTTTGTGATGAGCAGCAGAGACAAACATGCAGGAGAGTATAATTATATGATGAGATGGAGGCGACATTGGGAATACTCGGATTCACAATGTACGCGTGCCATCAGCTGGGTAATCAGAGTCGTCGTTGGACATCGTAAGTAGTCTTCATGATGTGGTGACATTCATGACATTCCCGACAACGAAAGTTATCTTACCCACTCTGCGATACGCTCACGGGCCTTCTCTGCTGCTTTGCGATTTGCCCGCCTAGGCTGGAACATGGTTGGAGCAGCTTCGTCCGCCATTGCCTGTTCCATAGCCGTCGCCGGTGCCGGGCGGTGTTCCATATCACCAGCCTCCACTGCTCCGACGTCATCCACAACGTGCAGCTCGAGCGGATAGAGCTTGCTGATCGGTCTCGACAACACTGCCTTCGATTTAGCCGTCTTCAGCTTGACAGCTCTGACTTGGCCATCGACTCCAGGTAAGATTTCTACCACTCTGCCGAGTCTCCAACTTCCACGTGGCTGGCCGGTCTCTTGGATTACGACCACTTCTCCGACTGTTGGTGTCCGAGAGATGCTACTCCGTGACTGTCGGTGTTGACTCATTGATGCTTCGCGCAGAGCAGGGAGGTACTCATCTTCCCACACCTTCCATGCTACATCCAGTTGTATCTGTTGCCGTTTCCACATCCTCGTGACCTTGGCTGCTGGTGTCTCCGGACCGTCCTCCTCGTCGCTGTCCGTCTGAAAACCGGTTGCCGTTCTTCCTCCACAGAGGAAATGTGACGGTGTCAGGGGTGAGAATGAGGACACATCGTCGTCGTCAACATATGTGAGCGGCCTCGTATTGATCATGCCTTCCACTTCGGCTGTCAGGGTTGCGAGCTGGTCTAGAGTCAGGAGGCACCTTCCAAGACTCTTCCTCAAGGCTCTCTTGACAATGCTCACCAGCCTCTCGTACACACCGCCCTTCCATGGCGCAAACTCTGTTGTGAAGCTCCATTCGATATTCTCCGTTGAGAGATACGATAGCAGGTCTGGGTTGGCAAGAATCAGCTTCAGATGATCGTCCAGGACAGAGCGTACCAACTTGAACTGGGGTGCGTTGTCACACACAATAGACTTTGGCTTGCCTCGTCTCGCTGCGAACCGTCTCATGCTGTTCAAGAAGGCTGCTGCAGATAGGCCAGAGACTATGTCCAGGTGTACAGCTCGTGTGGTTAGGCAGGTTACTAGGTTGATCCATACCTTGCCTTTCTCCGTGCCGGTGCGGATCAATAGCGGTCCGAGGTAGTCAAGACCAACGTACGTGAATGGAAGTGCTCTGGTAATCCGTTCCTTGGGCCATGGGGGCATGGACGGCAACTTGAACGGACGCCCTTCGTGTCTTCGGCAAACCGAGCACTGATCCAGGATACGGCGAACGATAGCACGGCCACGTATGATCCAGAACTCTTGCCTTGTCTGGGCCAGGGTGTGTCGAACACCTGCATGCAGAAGCCGTCCATGGACTTCGCTGATGACATGCTTCGTGAACGCGTGATACGTTGGTAGCAGCTTCGGTAGTTTCTGGTCAGTTGGTAGTTCAGCGTTGCTCAGTCTTCCGGCGCATCGCAGTATGCTGTCGTCGTCGATCACAACACCAAGGTTAGCAACTGAACTGTGCTTGGCATTGGTCTTGATAGCTTTGAAGATGTCAGGGAAGGCCTCGCGTTGTACCATTCGAGTCCACCAATCTCGCGCAGCCTGTATGTCTTGTGACACGATGCCGTAGCTGTTGCTGATCTGAGAGAGACGTGGTGAGTTGGGACGCAGTTTCTTCAGGAACTTCATGCACAGAGCAGTGATTCTCAGGACCTTCCTCAAACTGCTTGCTCTCGTAAGCACGCTGCCGAGACCAGATGGAATGGTGTGTGGACTAGGTTGGTCAGTAGCACGATCGCTGCCACCAGTCACCAGGCTTGCGGTATGAAGCGTTGGTGCTTGCTCCTCATTGCTGGCTAGGTCGGATTCGTCAGCTGAGAGTGTGAGGTCCTCGTCTGGCCAGTGATCTGATGTGGTACGTAACCAGTCCGGACCGTGCCACCATGACTCCTGAAGATCGGCCACCAAACCGCCTCGGCTAGCGACATCAGCAGGGTTGCACTCTCCAGGAACATGGCGGAAGGACAAGAACTCGCCGCAAGTACGAATCTCTGACACACGGTTGGCCACGAATACGGACAGTGGCTTGGATGATTTGATCCAATGCAGAACACAACGCGCGTCCGTCCATAGGGTGATGCTGGTAAGTGGGAGATCGAGTTCATCTTTGCAGAATCGGGCTGCCCGTGAACCAATCGTCACGCCAAGTAGTTCCAGCCGTGGCAGGGTGAGACCGTTAGGCTTGCCGTCCTTGGACTTCAGCGGTGCAAGACGTGTCTTGCCGAAGAGGAGCTCACAGGTTGTCATCATGGCTATGGTTGTGCGGAGGTAGACCACAGTTGCAAAATGGAAGTTTCCGGAGGAGGAAGGAGGAAACTGTAGTTATCACCAACCCTCACCGCGCCCAGCTCACGCCGCCACGGCGTGCGACCTGAGCTGGGCGCCCTGCCCAGTATGGAACTGTCCTCAAGCCAGTCACGTTTTTGGCAGCCCAGTGAGCTGTCTACCGGATCGCAGCGTTTAGAAGCGCCAAATGCGGCAGGGCCAGTCTCAGGCTGGTCGCGTAGGCGGCAGGCCGGCGGGCGACCGGCAAGGCTGCATTCGCATTTGGATCACCGAAGTGATACAGGTGCTTCGACGGCACTCCGTGGCGCATCAAGGAGGCATCTGGGGCCCAGGCAGCCCGCCCGTAAGCGCACCACCGTATCAGGTATGCGCAGGTGGAGCAGCAGAGCAAGATGTGTGCCGGACACTCACCATCATCCGGTCGACTGCATGGTTGTGCGACTTTACACAGCCGTCACTCATTACTTGCTATTGCTTGCAGAAGGCCAGAATTTTTTTGCTCTCGTTTGCTCTAAAGCTAGTTGGTTTACGTGGTTTATACCCGTACCTGAGCATGGATCCTACTCAGCAGCGGATCGCTGGTATTCCTCGTTTGAGACCGCGGCGACGGCAGCGTCGGCCCTGACCAACAAGCCTCGGGCGATGAGCATGCCGGCCGAAAATGCAGGCATGGACACTGTCGTGTATGACCAGTTTAGTTGAGTTCCTTGGAGGCGCTATGATGCCGGCCGGCGCATGTGTTGGCGCACGGGAGACGATTAGGACAATACGGCGTGCGGAATACGTCGAGCTGGCCACAATGCTTCCTTCCTGTCCTGCCCACACGCAGCCAGCAACCAAACGTGTTAGAATCGATCAATCCGATGGCAATCACTGAGTGGAATTGTCATTGGCGGCTCCTCTTCTGGCAAGAGAAAAACTGAATCTCTAATCTACTGGGTCGAGGCCTGGCAGACTTTCAGAACCATCGCGCCTTGCAACACGAGCTTACGCCCTCTGGGGCCCTAAGTAGTCCGACAAGAAATTCATACTGCACGGCGACAAAAAGGCAGTTGGAGCAGTGTGAAATCCGGGACTTGCCGAAATCCAACCGTAACGGAACTAGCCCACTTCAGCCCCCGCATGGTAGCAGAACACAAGGCTTTATCTCGCTGACTACCCATATTACGGTCACGGACAACTCCGCTGCGGACGCTCTTTCACGCGGACGATTAGTCCATTTCCTCTCATCGGCTCCCTAATCCAGCTGCTGGACTCGGCTTAGTCCCGAACTCATGCTATGCGGGAGCAACTAATCATGGCAGCAAACCGGCTGAACTTCTTCTCAACCAATGCGTGCCTCCTTTTTCATTCGCTGTGTAGTCTATATCTCTCAGCACACGTGGGTAAGCACGCAAGCACACACACACCCTCGCACACGCATACATACATACATACATACATACATACATACATACATACACACACACACACATACTCTCTCTCTCTCTCTCTTTAGCTCCTCTCCTCCATCCCTCACCCTGCTTCGCCTCTAAGTGCTGTCGCTCCCCTCTCCTTCCTACTCGTACTAGGCGGCATTACACCAAGTCTCAGCATGTGGGGTCTACTTTGCTGTTTTGGGGCTTTGTTTGGACATGGCAAGCTGTTATCTTTTTCCTTGCGGCTGTCGTCGCTGTTGCCATTGTTGTTTAGATACCACGGCGAGCCGGCAGTACGTGCCGGTGTTGGCGGGCTGGCGACCTTGTTTTACTTTCAGTAATTAACACTTTACCCGAGGTGCGACGGATTAATCCGTCACGACCGCGCAGGGCATATTGCAGACACGCGTATGTGTGTTACACACACACACTCACACATTATGCGCACCCGGCGGGCAGGGCGATTGGCCCATGCTGCTTATTCAGTTGTACTAGCGGAGGCAGGGGCGATTCCCCTACGTAATCGCCCATGCGGCGGAATACCCGGCGGCCTGATACGGCGGCGTTGCGAGCAAATGCAGGGGTGGTTCCCTTTTGAGCTCTGTTTGTGGCGGCGGCAGAGGCAGGGGCAGCGCCCCTAGCCCATGCGGCGGTTGACCCGGCGGCCCGACATGGCAGTTGGCCCCGGGGTCCGATATGGTAACTGACCCGGCGGTCTGATATGGCGGCTGA